GCACCCAGGAATCAAATTACCTTGCTTCCTTCCCGTCAGGACTGAATGGGCAGACAGAGGGTGTATGTCTGTCCGTCTGTGCACCTACACGTATGCATGTGGATGTGCATCTGAGAGACCATGCAAGTTTCCCATGTCACTAAAAATATCCTTACTATAAAGTTACCAGAGGCAATACAACCAAGCACTATTGTAAAGTTAAGCTTAGGAGTGTGAGTACAGCTTCTAAGAGGTACTTTATAGTCCATGCTGTATGAGGTCTGACAATTAAGTTCGCGAGCTCATCCTAGAACGAGTGCTCCATGCCTCATTGCTGAATATCACTACGGTCGCCTTCGAAGGACTCCCCTCGGGAAGCTATGCACTGATGCCAGTGGCTAGACCACAGGTCAAAGCAATTTTGAAACTCTTTTTCTGGAATGGCCATCAGAGCTGTCATCCTTATTACCCTCGATGTTCTGAATGTCGTCAAATGTCTTCTTTTCAATATTTCCTTTATATTCAGGTAAAAAAAAAAAAAGTCATTGGGGGCCAGATCAGGTGACTAAGGAGGGCGTTCCAATACAGTTATATGTACAGTGCTGCCAATGTAAGCGCACGGTGGCAAGTTCACAAACCTAATGGTCAGACCTCAAAAAATAACAACAGCAGCTCTGATGGCCATTCCAGAAAAAGAGTTCCAAAACTGCTTTAAACAAGTGGAGAAGGCATAGGCATCGGTGCATAGCTTCCTGAGGGGAGTACTTCGAAGGTGACCACAGTGATCTTCAGCAATGAGGTATGGACCACTTTTTCTAGGATGGTTCGCGAAGCTAATTGTTGGACCTCTTATACACAGTTAAATGGAATATACTTTTATATACTGTAAAGGCAGCCAAATTTTAGTTATTTCAGTTAATAATTAGCTTGTGATTTCAGGCCATTCGCTGAATATGTTTCTTGGCTTCAGCATGTATAAAAATAAGGTTATAAAAGGCACAAGATAAATATTTGTGAATATTATAGGTAAAAAAACATTCTGGGAAGTTCAAAATTCTAAACAATGCAAACTCTTACTCATAAGCAGCTAACCTGGGGCAGAAGACACTCTCATTCTGACTCTTTAAAAAGTAAGAATAAAAAATTATGTGATGGATAAAAATCATCGCTTTTTCAAGGATTTATTTGAAAGATCATGCAGTCTTTACTGCTAGGTTTCTTAAGATGCAGAATCCCTAAATCAATCATTCGAACCAACATGACAACAATGATAGTTTCAGTTATATTGAACTGTTTGAAAAGTACACATAGAAACTTCTGCCTCCAGTTGTAAGTAGCTTGTGGCAGATCTCAGCTTCAGTTAAGAAACAGAAAAGCAGATATTTAAACACACAAGCACTCCTCCTAGAAGGTATCAGAGGGCTGTCAAGGCAACCAAGAATTACATTCGCTGCTGATTCTTGGTGAAGGCAAAGAGGCTGAAAAGCCAAAGAGAAGACCACAGGAAAGGATATCAGCAGGGCTTCAGGCAATCTCCAGAACTGGGAAGACAAAAGAATAGTGTTTAGGGCTGGCAAGACAGCCAGGAACTGAGGACCCAACAATCCCAGAAAAAAGGGACAGAGAAGTAAGTAAGCCTGACACTCAGGACTGACTTTTTCCTCAAACTATTTACTGATTAAGCTGTTAAGGGCAAAAGGCTAATTTTCAAAGCATAAAGCAGAACCAAGCTCAAAAGGAGAAACACCCCAGGCTTTCAGTGGGTACTCCTGGAAAACTACTTTCCAGGAATTGAGGGGAAGGAAGGTTAGAACCTAGAGTCTTACGAAGACTGAAAGCCAGTTTTGAATCCATTTGGTCCTGATTAGATTGAAGTGATCTTCCCTTCTGCTGTCTCTCAGAATACTTTCTGGAATCCCCTCTAAAGAAAGATCCAGAACATCTACAATTTTTCATATACGATGTCCAGCCAGTATTCAGTTAAAATGTACCAAACAGGCAGGGCTTGGTGTCTCAGCCTGTAATCCCAGCACTTTGGGAGGCTGAGACGAGTGGATTGCCGGAACCCGTGGGTTCAAGACCAGCCCGATCAACTTGGTGAGACCTTGTTTCTACAATAAATCAAAAATTAGTTAGGCGTGGTAATGTGCACCTATAGTTCCAGATACTTGGAAGGTTGAGGCAGAAGGATCGCCGCAGCCCAGCAGGTAGACTCTGGGGTGGCTGTGAGCGTGACACTGCATTCCAGCCTGGGCGGCAGAGTGAGACTCCAACTTGAAAAAAAATGTACTAAACATGCCAAAAAAAAACAGGCAATAGAAACTCATAGGTGACCTAGATATTGGAGTTATTTGACACAGACTTTAAAGGATCTGTAATTAAGATTTTTTTAAAAATATGTTTAAAAACTAGATGACAATGAGAATTATGCCAGAGAACTAGAATCTATAAAACTGAGTCATATAGAAAGAACTGAAAATGGCAATAAGTGAAATAAATAACTCAATATAGGGCTTAATAGCAACTGTAGATGAGGCTAAAGAAAAGATTAATGAGCTGAAAGATAATTTTATAGAAAAGATACGTTTTAGTCATCAACATAAGTCACAGATACACCAACTTCATTTGAATAATAAAAAATTGCTTTGTTGCTGATTATTTTACACGGGTAATTTATTTTATAGGTAAAATAGCACTCTGGAATTTTGAGTTAAAAGATTTAGGTTCAGGTGACACATTTCACTTACTAGATGGGTGGATTTGATAAAGTCATTAACGTCTTTAAACTCGTTCCTCCCCTTGAAAAAAGTTTACACCTTGATCATAAGGTTAAGAGGAAAGGGGATATAATATCAATCTGTTCTATAAATATTGTACCTACGGCACGTTTCTAATGTTCCTGACCATCCCTTCCCCCCTTCATCCTGGGCACACAGACCAAGTAGACATTACATTTCCAAGCATCGAGCATTTCAAGGTGAGACCATATGCTCAGCTCAGGTCAGTTCAGGTTGAGATGGGAGAATAGATTTTTCTAGTCACTCTTTTTTATTTGATTCAGGGAGTACACATGCATATTCATTACGTGGACATATTATGTAGTGGTGGGGATTGGATCGCAGGTGGCCCACTCCCTCGATAGTGAACACTGACTTTCTGCTTGCCCTGGACTTTGGTTCTTTTCCCTTCTAGCAGGTTGCAGTGCAGATGTAGCAGTCCCCCAGTATAGATCATTTAGGTATGATAACACCCAAGGAGACAGCTGAAACTGGGACTCTGAATGACCAGCTGAGACTAGCCAGAATGTTGAGCAAGAGAGAAATAACTTTCTAGCTCATTCAGACCATCGTATAACATATATTACAGCACCTTAACCTTTACCCAGGTAGCACAGAGCAAAACAAATGTAAAATGATCCACTAGTGCCAGTGAAATTAAATTTTTAGCAAAACTACTGTTAGCCCACCTACAAATATATATGCAGAAAACTCCCAATTACAAGTAACTTCAAGGAAGGGGAAAAACATGATAAAGTTAATGCTCCCCCTCCCCACACCCTCAAAAATGTTCTGCTTCAAATACTTCTAGAGAAAATAAGCATTACGAAGAGATTTGAATGCATTTATGTGGAAGTCAGTGTTGACTTTAGAAGAAAGCTGCTAGAGAACACTGCTAGAAGCAGACGACATGTTTGAAATTAGGAAAAAATAATAAGCAAAGCAGTTGCTGCAGTCCAAGTACTGGAGAAATTTGGTTGACAAGTAATTAGAAATGAGAACCTAAAAAATGCATCTAGGAGTCACTCAAAGATTATTGGACGCTATCTGTTTATATTTTGTTTTCACCGGTGAAGATTTTCTATTTGAAAGCTCAGGGAGGAAAACAGGAAGGATGGAAATACTAAGAATGCCAGAAAGACACAGAAGTGGGACAGTAGCGTGGAAAGCAGAGGCCCCAAGCTCAAAGTAATTGGGAGTACTGTCTTCAGACTGTTCTTAATTCTAAGCAACCAGGTCAGGAGTTCTTGTGAGAGGTCTCAGCAGAAGCAATCTTAAAATCACCTTTGCCCCATCGCTACACCATACGTCCATGTAACAAACATGCACGTGTAATCCGTGAATCTAAAATAAAATAAAATAATATTTTTTTAAAAATAGGCCCAGCACAGTGTAATCCCAGCAGCTTGGAGGCTGATTGGAATGCTTGAACCTAGAAGTTTCAGACCAGCCTGAACACACATATAGCTAGGCAGGGTGGCATACCTGTGGTCCTAGCTACTAAGGAGGCTGAGACAGGAGGATGTCCTGAGCCCAGGTGGTTGAGGCTGCAGTGAACTGTGATCATGCCACTGTGCTCCAGCCTGGGCGGCAGTATATACACACATACCAAATAACCTTGGCAGGCCACTCTCAACAAACACTTGTGTCCACAGTAATCAGCTCCTGGAAGCCACTCTTCAAGCTGACCACTTATACCAGCTCACCTCCAGTCCTGAACCTCCAAATCCATTTGCACAGAAGCCAGCTCTGAAAGGTGTTGTTTAAAAGCCAAACACTGTGGTACAGAGATTCCTATACACTTAATGCTCACAGGTAGATTGATGCACCCCATTTAGGTTCCCTAATTATTTGCTAAAACCACAGCAAACGTATTCAAATATGTTCCAGCAGGGAGGTTCCCTCCTGCCATCCTTTTAAGTGGAGCCTGAGGGAAAATGCGAAGCAGTGGGGAACAGGACTAAGTACCTGTGTAAAGCTGCCACTGTTGTGGAATTAGAAACATGGATGTCTTTTCTCTGGGCTAGCTCCAAAGAGGGAATGCATATTGAGAGTGAGTGCTGATCGATATGTCTTTTTCTTTTTTTAAAGGTGGGCAGAAAGCATCAGAAATTGTAAGATCACAGAAACATGAAGAGACGAAGCCTGTGTATACAAGGAAATACTCAATGGAGAAAATACATTGAAAAATAAACCATCAAGTGTAGCCAACCGTATTTTTAAAAACCACACACTAAACACAAAGACTGTGTAAATATATTTAATTTGATTACATCTTCACAAGAAATTCATTGCAAAATGCTAATGATAGAGAATGCATCGTTTTAAATTAGGTCCTCCTTTTTCTTCCCCTTGCATGCCTCAGTTGCCTTCTTTTCTTCCCAAACACGGATCTGGCAGTCACGAGGGTCGGCCTTGCTTCCTCCCCGTCATCATCACTAGAGCTGCTTGTGGTCACACCGTCCTCCTTTACACGCGCAGCTCTCACCGAGTCCTGCAAATCTGAAGAGCTGGTTTCTGACACTTTCGCTGCGTGTCTCCTTTGTGTGTTCATCAAAGCCCAACTTTCAGCACCCTGGCTTGCAGACGCAGCTCGCCACTCCGAGAGGGAGGTCTTCCCCAGAAACCCCCCACCTTTATTCTCTTCTTTAGCATCTGAAAGTCTCTTTCTTTTCAGGCTCGCTGGCTCTTTCAATTTATTTGCTATGCTTCTCTTCTGAGTTGTTCCTTTTGCCTTATCGAGTATCACAAATTCTTTCTCCATAGCAACAGAAACTGCTTCTATCTCACTGGCTTCTTCTTCTCTTTCTTTCCTTAGCATACATGTCACAGCTCTGTTTAGTCTCTGGCTCTTAATACGTTTAGCATCTTGTTTCTCCTGTTGAGCTAATCTAAAGAAGGAATCAATTCGGAGCTGTGTCTAAAAAAGAAAAGAAAAGAAAACAATAAATCATACAAGTAAATAAAGTCTCTAAACCAAATCAACAAGCTCAACATTGATCACCCATATTGGATTGCTATGTCAGAGAATTCACTATCTCCCAGAGCCAGTTCTCTCTCAAGGAATTACTAAAAGTAAATTTCACTTTCTAAATCATGCTAAAGCATACTTAGAGCAGTTGGTCCCCGCACCAAATCTGTCAACCAAATCCTCAGTCCACATCTCAGACATCTCTGTTTAGGGACTCAAAGACCATTAAATATTTTTCTGTAGCCAAATATATCATCTTCTTTTGAAGCAACACAATTTCATGAGGTCTGTTCTAAGCCTACTGTACCCTTCTTTTGAAAACATTATCATACAATACCTCTAGGAGGCAACTTCACAGTGTATATTAGGAGCTGTCAGAAATATTCATGCCTTTTGTTTAGCAAATCCACTTGTTTAGTAGTTACAAGGCCAGGCACAGGGGCTCATACCCGTAATCCCAGCACTTTAGGAAGCCGAGACAGGCGGATTGCTTGATCCCAGGAGTCCAAAAAACAGCCTGGGCAACATAGCAAAACCTCATCTCTATACATTTTTTTAGTTAGCCAGTTGTGGTGGTGCATGCCTGTAATAAGCTACTCAGGGGGCTGAAGTGGAAGGATCACCACTTCCACTTGATAGGGGTTGCTTTGAATTGTAGGTCATTTTGGATAGTACTGACATCTTAACAACATTGAATCTTCCAATCCATGAACATGAAATGTTATTCCATTTATTTTTGTCTACATCACTTTCTTTCAACTGTGTTTTGTATTTTTCATTGTACAAGTCATTCATCTCCTTCATTAATTGCTAAGTATTTTGTTCTTTTGATTATATTGTAAATGAAATTGTTTTCTTAATTTCATCTTACAGGCTCATACCTGTAATCCCAGCACTTTAGGAAGCCGAGGCAGGCGGATCGCTTGATCCCAGGAGTTCAAAAAACAGCCTGGGCAACATAGCCCAGGCTGTATAATCATCTCTATACATTTTTTTTTAGTTAGCCAGTTGTGGTGGTGCATGCCTGTAATAAGCTACTCAGGGGGCTGAAGTGGAAGGATCACCTGAGCCCAGTAGGTCATGGCTGCTGTGAGCCGTGATCACTGTAATTGTGCCACTGCACTCCAGGCTGAGTGACAGAGTGAGACCCCAACTCAAAAAAAACTACAAAAAAGTTACATATGAGGAAAATTATATGCCTAATGTTCATCACCACATTATTTATAAAAACCTGAAAGTTAAAAGTCCAGCAGGTAAACTGAATTAATTGATTTTAAATATCTTTCATGAAATATAATCTGGTCATCTGAAATTAAGAAAACTATGTCATACATAGAAAAAGAACTTAAGCTAATAAGCAGAGGAGAGGGAGGATTAGACATATCATGTTGCATTTATATATGGCAACAAATAGGTGTGGGAAATTGAAGAACAATAAAACTACATGTTAACATTGGTGTTAGGGAAGGTAGATAATGAGTAGTTTTAATTCATTTCCTTCACTTTCTAATTTTGGAAGAATAAACACATTAAGTTTTATAATGAAAAGGAAGAAAAGCATTATAACAAAATATATCTGAAATTAAGAAGTAACCTGTCACTAAGCCAAAAGCTTTCCTTCTTGGTTGATTGAAAATGTTTCTAAATAAACAAGGAGAAACTCCTGGAAATATCTGTCTTGCTCATGTTTTTTCAAAAGTAACCAAACCTAATAAAAAATGGTTTAATTTAAATATCTTACCTCAAAAATATGATCTCATTTCTACTAAGTGATTTATTTACATGTATGTTTTGTGGATTGCTTCCAGTGTGGGTGAAGGCTTGTTTTTTCTAAGTGGGAACATATTCAGAAATAATGCATTACATAGTTACCTAGGGGAACTGCAGGCCTCATCCAAAATCTCTCCTACTGACATGTAACAATGACTGAACTTATACCTTTAAAGATTCATTTATAGAATTTATTTATTTATTCACTTATTTATTTAAAAGACTAGAAACTGGGTCACGATGCTGCCCAGGGTGGCCTCGAACTCCAGGCCTCAAGTGATCCTCCTGCCTCAGCCTCCCAAAGTGCTGGGATTACAAGTGTTAACCACCGCACTGGCCATTTGTAGAATTTTTAAATGGTAGTGTGTATGGAAACTTTAATGATCAGAATAGCTTTGGATCGGACACTTCCTAAACTTTTTTAAGAATGAAAGTAGCTCTGATGGGGTAACATATTTAATCAAAAGCATTTTGGTGCAAAATCAATTATTAGATTTTTTTGAAAGCCAAAATGAGTAAGAAAGGACCTGAGCCGGGCTCGGTGGCACAGCCTGTAATCCCGCGCCTTCGGGAGGCTGAGGTGAGTGAATAGCCTGAGCCCGCGGGTTCGAGACCCGCCTGGGCAGCGAGACCTCATCTCTACAATAAATCAAAAAATCAGCTGGGCATGGTAGCGCATGCCTGTAATTCCGGCTACTTGGAAGGCTGAGGCAGAAGGATCGCCGGAGCCCAGCAGGTCGAGGCCGCGGTGGCCGGGAGCGGCCATTTGCACTCCAGTCTGGTGACAGAGTGAGACTCCAACTCAAAAAAAAAAAAAAGAAAGGACCTGAAAGTCCAGCCCTAAGTACAATAATATAGGCAATAAAGGCAAAGTTCAATTTTTCTCTTTTCCTATTTTCCTCTGTTATCTCATCTTAATTACAAAATGTAAAATAAAAGAGCTAACTGGTCTTTAACTGTCAGTCAACTATAGCCTTAGTAAGTTCACCCTCCATCCTAAAGTTAGGAAAAAAGCCCACCCGGATTACCTGTTGGGCGTTGAGTTGTTTTAATACTGGAAACAGAGATTCATCTGTCTTTGTTCTGTTCCAGCCGAAATACCGCTGACAGAATATGCAGGTAGTTAAGATTTATAAATGTTTTGAAAGATACTTAGATGAGTGAAATCAAAAGGCCCAAAGAATCCACTTTTGATTCTACTCCCTGTATCTCCCAAGGTTTTCATATTTACAAAGACTAGAGTGGTAAAAGAAAGGAATGGCAAAACAAGTCCCTCCAGCACAATCATCTGGCACTACGTTCTTCTCAATCCTTGAAAATAAACATGCCTAAATCCCATCTTAGGACATAAGAGACTCGTGACTGTGAAACAAGGTTAACCTGGAACGAAAACAAGTTTCAGATATCTTACAGACTTCTAACTGAGAGGAAAAAAAAACTGTAGCGAGATTAAATCTTATACAAGTCGTAAAATATCTATTCAGATGATTAAACACACAGAAAGGAAAACCAGTAACCAAAAGTACAAAATTAATCAGTTTCTATTCTTTCAGGATAAAAGTATGTGGTTGTATCCATGATGCTTATCACTGCTTCCCTCAAATAAAGATCCTCTCTAAAACTAAGGAGAGGTGCCAGAGCAGTGGTGCAGACCTGCAGTCCCAACTACTTGGGAGGCTGAGGCAGGAAGATCGCCTGAGCCCAGGAGGTCGAGGCTGCGGGGAGCTGTGATCGTGTCACTGCACTCCAGCCTGGGTGACAGAGATAGACCCCATCTCAAAAAACAACAATTTAGAAAAGGGGGAAATTAATGAAAAGGAGAGTTTTAGATAAATGGGATATTAAGAGAAAAAAATGATCCAAGTTCCTGTTTTCTGCTCCGTAAGTTTTAAACCAAAACAAATTTGGCTCAGTGCTCCTCTCTGTTTTATGAAGTCAAAGGATATTCTCTAATCTTGTCAAGGTCAGGCTTCCCCCACAGAAAGGAGCCCTTGGAGTCGTCCACCACCGGTTTGAGGTAAGCATCGGCAATAGCTGGGTTGGGAAAGCCAGGGGCGAGCTGCAGCTTCCGTAATTTTTTTTTCACTTTGGTGTCAAGAGGATTAGGTCTTATCTTCGTATTCTTTTGAGCTTCATGCCACCACTCTCTACAGGGTAAAGAAATTAACTAAGACATTACAGTTGATGCACTACAGAGTTAAAGTTAGAAAATGTAAACATAAGTACAGAATACTAAATTCATTATTATTGATATTATTAACCACAGTGTATGAGGACAAACATTTATTGAATATTTACTCTGTGCTTGGCACCGTTCACATGTTCAGAATTCACATGTTCGATAATCACACAACTGTCTTATCATCATCCTTACCTCACAGAGGAGGAAACTGAACTCAAAAAGGAGTAACTTGTCCTGGATTTCACAGCTGGACTTGGTACATCAGACCCTGACAATCTTCCTCAAGAGCTTACACTCATAATTACAAAACCACAAAAGCCATCACTTCTCTATGTCTATCTCTCAGCAGTAAAATGAAAGTAGCGTATCTATATTATTTATCACAAATCAAATAAAATAAGGGATACAAGAGTATTCAATAAAATGAAAATGTGAAAAAATATAAATATGCCAAGAACATGTTACATTTTAAAAACATTAAACATAACTCTACTTGAAGTATAATCCCAATTTTAGAATAAACATATGTATGAGGGGGACCCAAAAAAACCCCAGAATTGTCTTTTGGAAAGTGAGTCCCTTATAGTACACTCGGAATTTGTTCTTCAGATCAAACAGTCAACCAAAGTTTTTATCTGGAAGTATTGAGAAAGTTGTGGTCACAATTTGTGGAAGAAACGTCCCACATTGTGGCAAACAGGTGACTGATTCTTCCACCATGAAAACACACCTGCCCACACTGATTTTACCAAAATCAGAAGGACTCTCGTGCCACACCTTCCCTATTCACCAGATCTCATTCCAAGAGACATTTCTGTTTCCCTGGAGGAAAAAAAAAAAAAAAAACCCTCAAAGGGAAATTTTTTGTCATTGTGAAAGAGGTAAAACAAAAAATGGCAGAAGCACTAAAAGGCATCAAAATTGATGAGTTCAAAACCCTTTCTGAGCAGTGGAAAAAGCAACTTGACAGCTGCATCACATCAAACTGGGAGTATTTTGAAGGTTTCTGAAGTTTAAACATGTAAGAATATTCAATTTTTATAAACGAATTCTGGTTTGGGGGCGTCAGCCCCTCACATATGGATAAAGAGAGAAAAAGATATTTAAAATAATTAATAGGTCAGGCGTAGTGGCTCAAGTCTATAAACCCAGCACTTTGGGAGGCCGAGGCGAGAAGACTGCCCAAGCTCAGGGGGGTTCAAGATCAGCTTGGGAACTTGGTGAGACTTGGTCTCTACAATAAATAAAAAAATAAGCTGGGTGTGATAGCGTGCACGCCTATAGTGCCAGCTACTTGGAAGGCTGAGGTGGATGGACTGCCTGAACCCAGTAGGTCGAGGCTGCAGGACCGTGCCACAGTACTCAACCTGGGTGACAGAGTGAGACTAGACGCAAAAATAAAAAATAAAAATAAAGTGATAAATAACAGTATCAACTATTATCTTGCTGTGTGCTAGGCAATATTCTAAGCGAGAGCACAGCTGTTCATTTTCTCCTTTATATTTCATTCGTTTTCCAACTTTTTCTAAGCCTGACTTCTTATGGCAGGTCAAAGACAGCCACGCATTCTCCCACACTCCTCCCATCCAGAAGTGGGGTCCATGTCGCCTCCCTTGAGTGGGCGGGGCTCTGTGACCGACTGTCCCGAGCAACAGGCAGGAGGTGACACTGTGCCAGGCCCTGGAGGCCGCCCCTTCCGCCTCCCGACTCTTGGAGCATCTGCTCCTGGTGCTGGGAGGAAGCCCAAGTTCACCAAGAGGTGCAGATGGAGAGGCCCCAAGGCCCCCGGCCACCGTCTGGATGAGCTCCCGGCTGACAGTGCCACCCTGCCAGCCATATGAGCCATCTTAATGTGACTCCCCGAGCCCAGCTGGGCTGTCCCAACCTTCAAGGAACAGCCTCTCCCACGAGGCCTGGCCAAACCTTAGATTCCTGAGGGACCTCGATGACTGCTGCTGTTTGAAGCTACCGAGGTGTAAGGTGGTCTGCAAAGCAGTGACAGATGGCCAGAAAAGTTTACAATTACAAAAAAAAAATGGCAAAAAAGCGAATAACATAAACACAATCCTCACCAATCCATGCACTCAGTGGAACCTAAAAGTCACCTCTACCTCACATCCCACTGCAGCACACGCCTCCTACCTCGGGCAGGATTAGGGGATTCACAGGCTGGGTGCCTCGGCCAGGGTTTCACCTTGCCGACGCAGGAGTGCCATCTAGCGTTGGAAAAGACTAACGGCGGTCTCGCTGCAGTAACAAAACGCAAAAAGGAAAAAAGGACTTCTCCCGGTCGCTTGTACAACACTGTTCACAGGAGTGCACGGGGGGAATACCTGCAACTCCCTCCACCTTTACTTTTGAATGTTCGTCTTTGAAGTAGTCCTCACGACTGCCGGCCAAGAAACTCAGCACAACACGGTGAGCTCACAAAGCCAAAAGCAGCAAGAGGGCCTGGCGCTCAAGGATGAAAGGAAGAAGGCATCGCTCCGCCAGCTGAGCTGGGGGGAGACAGTAGGGAGTGGTGGCAAGTGTGATGAAACTGAAAGGATTCGTTCCCGGGTAGAGGCTGATTGGGAGATATTTGGGGAGTAGGGCACCATATATTCTGAGCTCCTTTTCTTCCCAGAAGAATCCATAATTTTTGTCAACTCTTCCCAAATGGCACTGCTGGTCAATTCAAAATTAAAACTCTATCGAAGAACACGCTGTGAGGGTCAAACCACGGGAAGCTAAGGCTGAATTCCACCTGCAGGCCCAAAATAGCTCCCACTTCAAAGAACAAGGGCCTGGTCAGGAGTTGAGAGCAGAAAAGAAGGAAACAACATTCTAATTTGACTGGTTCCCTACCCTTCTCCCTGCTCTTTAACTCTGCCTTCAGTCTAAGCCTCCTGAGCCAGGCAGGGCTAAGACTACTCCCACCTGGCCTCAAGGAGCTGGAAGACCAAAAGCAGAAATGCTAATGATGACCACAAACCACAAACAATTCCACAGGCAACAAACGAGCAGAAACTGTTAAACAAAGAAAAGGAAAATGGCATAGACACCTTCACTAAATCAGAAATGCAACCTGTCAATAAACACGAGAAAAAATTCACCAGTAATTAGGAAACCAAATTGAAAAGTCAAATGCCATTTTCATTTCTCCTTAAATAATAATTAGATAAGAACCCAAAGATATATGTATAGGACACCCAGATCAATGTTTGTCTACGCTTTTAAAAAACGAGAGAGGTCAGGCAGGTGGCTCACATCTGTAATCCCAGCACTTTGGGAGGCTGAGGCGCAAGGATTGCTTGAGCCTGGGAGTTGGAGACCAGCCTAGGCAATATAGTGAGACCTTCCTTTGTCTCTGGAAAAAAAAAAAAATTAGCCAGGCATAGTGGCATGTGCCTGTAGTCAGCTACTTAGGAGGCTGAGGTGGTAGGATTGTTTGAGCCCAGGAGATGAAGGCTGCAGTGAGCCGTGATCATGCCACTGCATTCTAGCCTGGGTGACAGAGTAAAGTCCTGACTCAAATAAAATAAAACAACAAAAAACTGAAAATAACAAAAGGCATTGAATTAGATTAATCATGATAGAACCAAAACCAGATTACCTGAAGCCATTAAAAGCAATTGTATAAATGCACACATGGTTAATAATGCGCCTTGTTCTATCATCATATGGGTTACAGGCAATATAAAAAGTATACAGCATCATCTCATTGTTGTAAAAAAATATGATACATATACCTTATATGAGTATTCGTGTATATATAATGTATATGAATGTACATGTGCATAGAAAAGTCTAAAATTACATAAACAAACACAAACTGTAATCTTTTTAAACCACATTTTACAATTTTTCTGTTAGGTATTTATTTTATTATTTGTATAATAAAGTTATTCATAGTTTTTCAAGTTATTTACCTACCATGATCTATGAACTACCTGATAACTTACCCCCAGTATAACAATTTCCTCAACAATAAGAAATTATAAAAAAGAGATAAAGTATAAAATAAAATATAAAGAAAGTCAAATAAAGTATAAAATGCAATACCCTGGTATGCATGCTGAGTCAAGAGGGCCATAATCATTACAATGTTGTGTTTTATTTCAGTGATTCTTCAGACCAGAGCACCATCATGTTTTTATGGCACAGGAGGTGTAACTGGCAGGAACACGAAAGGATGGTTAAATCAACTACCACCCAGCCGGGCAGGATGACTCATGCCTGTCATGCCAGAACTTTGGGAAGTGGAGGTGAGAGGACTGCCTGAGCCCAGGGATTTGAGACCAGCTGGGTCTGATGGCACACGCCTATAGTTCCAGGTAGTTGGAAGGCTAAGGCAGAAGGATCACCTAAGCCCAGCAGGCCGAGGCTGTGGTGGTTGTGAGTGTGTCACTGCACTCCAGCCTGGGCAACGGAGTGAGACTCCAAGTCCAAAAAAAAAAAATCAACTACCACCCAAAATTATCTCATGACAAATGGATGGTTAAAAGATGCCATCATAACCCTGTGACTATACCAAAGATAACTGTGTTGTAGTTTTAGAGATAAAAGGATACATTTTACAGTATATCGATTTTTTTTTAAAGATGCCATCAAGCACAAACCTTAAGAAAGAACTCCTTCCACAGACATACTCATAACTCCTACCATCTCAGAATCTTCAATACTAAAAAATGTACCCCGAGGATAGCACAGCTCTGGGTTCTGGATGGACCGAGACTCCACCACTGAACAATCACAATATTCACATGGGGAGAAGCAGGACAGCAGCGCTGGGTGTGAAGGTCCTGGCCTTATGTTTCCAAGTCCCTTCTTGGCTGACCTCTCAGAACAGGAAACACACAGAAGGTCAGCCACTGCTGCTCCACCAGCGCCCCCAAAAGCATGGGAGCCCAGGGTCGGCCTGTGACTCACGACTCAGTCCTCACTCCTATCCGGAGGCCAGCAAATGCCTGACACACAGTAGCTACTCAAGAAATACTTGAGTGGATGAAATGGCAACTTCTACACTCCTGTGAAATCCACAGTATTGGTTTTGTACCCTTGAACTAGGATAAGTTCAGCACCACTAAAAAAGAAACTGACTTCATCAGAACTCAAGAAAAGGGAAAACAAGCTTTAGCAACCCCAGCCAATACCTTTTGCTGCTTTCTCAATGAACAATGATTTGTGATGGTTCATGGTGCAAATGGTTCTGTTAATATAGGTATTTATATCAACATCTGATTTACAGAAATCAAGAAAACACTTACGAGAACTTTAGGAGAGGTTCCAGGCCGTGTCCTGGGAATTCATTGAGAATTTCCATGGCTGTTACACAACCTACAGTTGGTATCCCTTCAGTATAATCACTTCCAAGCAGATAGGCCAAATTTATTAATTTATTCCGGTCCAATCCTGTAAGAATCACGGTTACACTTTTCTTAATTTTTATTTGATACAGCTTTATTACATAACATTTATAAAGATGTTTTTATATAAATTATATAGGTGTACTGCACCTACATGTTGGTTGCAGCATAATTCAACCTAAATGCCCATCGACTGATCAGTGCTTAGTGAATATATGGTATGTGTATATACCGCGGAAAGCTGTACATCCATAAGGAAAGAGCAAAGTCATGTCTTTTGCTGCAACTTGGATGGTATTGGAGACCATTACCCTAAGTGAAGGCAGGAATGGAAAACCAAACAGTGCATGTTCTCACTTATAAGCTAAGGGTCTGCAAAGGCATACAGAGAAAGGACACTGGAGACTGAAGAGGGAGGACAGAAAGGCGGGAGGTATGCAAAACTGCCAATCAGGTACAATGTCCACTAATGGGGGTGATGGGGACGCTTAAAGCTCAGACTTCTGCACCGCCACACAAAGTAGCCATCTGTACTCCTGAAGCTATCAAAATAAAGAAAATGTTTAAAAATATCGTATAGAGGTGTGTGTGTAGCTTCATTTGACAACCAAAAATATCTTACTGTTTGAAATAGATTCTTTTATAAAATGGCATTCTGTTAGTATCTTTAAAGTTTCATACATCCTCACAGCTTTAAATGCCCTCGACATGCTGACCCCTACATACAGCGATCTAGCCTGGATCTCTCTGAACCACAGATGCATATTCAACTAACACCACCTCCACTTGGGTGTCTAACAAATGGCTCAAGTTCAGCACATCCAAACCTGACCTCTTCGTTTCTCCCTCCTCACTCTGCTCCGTCCTTACCTTATTTCGGGCAGGTCCACTTGCCTAGCTGCTCAGGGCCTGGAGTCCTCCCCGACCCCTCCCCTCCTCTCACGCCCCACTCCCAATCTGCCCATACACCCTTGCCCAGCACAGCAGGCCTACCGGACTTTGGGCTCTTCCTTCTCTCTGACATTAACCCTGGACACTCTCCTCCTCCGCCACTCAGACTGGCCCCTTGCTTTCCTAGAACACACCCTACAAGCTTCTGCCTCAGGGCCTTGGCACTCCCTAGTCCCAAATATCCATCTACAGCACTGACTTCCTATTCCTTTGGCCTCTGCCCTGAAGTTAAATGAGTGAAAACTTTTTCTGAAACAGCACCTGTACTCTCAATGACTAGCTCACTTTCTTTTCTTTTTTACTGCTATGTTTTTCTATATGACACACACCACCAACTGTCAAACTACAATTTATGTATTTGTTTAACACCTGCTTCTCCTACTAGACTATTTTATTCCCCGCTGTCTCCCCTTTGTCAAGAACAAGGAGCATACAGGAGCCACTCAATATATATATGCTGTCTCATGCCTATAATCCTAGCACTTTGGAGGACAAGGTGGGAAGATCGCTTGAGCCCAGGAGTTCAAGACCAGCCTGGGCAACATAGTGAGACCTCGTCTCTACAAAAAAAATACAAATATTAACTGGGAAGGGTGGTGCACACCTGTGGTCCCAGCTACTCAGGGGAGCTGAAGTAGAAGGATCGCCTGAGCCCAAGAGGTGGAGGCTGTAGTGAGCTGGGATTGTGCCACTTGACTCCAGCCTGGGCAACAGAGTAAGACAGGTGAATGGAAGAATTAAGATCAATGAAGATCAATGCCAGAAACACCCATATGTGCCCAGGAACAAGAACGACTGCCCCCTGCTGTCCCTCTCCACCATCTCCAGTTCATTCTGGAGATCTCAGGTAACCAGTCAAAGTCTAACCAGGTCAGAAGATGATTAAACTACCTACACATACCAAGATATTAACTCCAATTTTAAAAATCCTATTCCTCTATAGAAGCAAAAGAACACTTACACGAAAACTTGTGTAACCCTACCATTTCCATTCTTGCATCAAATTAGTTCCTTGGGGGAAAAAAATTCATAAGACAAATTCCGAAGGTACATTCCAGAAAGTAACTGTACTCTGAAGTCTTACCTAACTGATTATGAAAGTCCACATACTGGTAATACTCCACAAACTTGTTTTTATTAAAAAAGTTTTTATAGACATGCCGTGCTCCAAACAGCCAGATATCGCTGTCGTCGGTGATGGTTCCAGAAGTCTGATCAGTCAGGTCCAGGATGGCGCACTGCGCCTCTGCCTCCATGGGAGCCTCGATGTAGGGGATGCCAAACAGGCGCAGAAGTTCCTGCAGTTACAGACACACAGTGACCTCCAGGGAAGTGCGTTACCGGCCTAGACCACAAGGGGAAGCAGTGCTTTACCATTTCATGCAATGCATCCCCTGGTTGCCAGAGGTTGCCCAAGCTGACTGCACCCACCTGGCTTTCCAGAAACATCTGTCCGGTGACAGTGGCAGCGACTCGTTCTTGCTGCTGTTTTTGAGCTTTCAGTGAATTCTGCTGGGCTAAGAGGTCGCTCTCCAGAGTTTCCAGCTCCTCCTATAAACAAGATTTTTCATCTGTAGATCATCACATTCATATACAATCCAATTAAGTTCACCTGTTGCAAAAAAGCCTGCATTTAGTCTGACTGAAATTACCAATAAGTTCTTTCTCCTTAGAAAGTATTTCACTCGGGTTGCTGAGGAAGGTCCTCAGAAATAGCTTTAGAGCTCCCTCACTAAATCTCATGGAAAATGGAGTCTATCCCAGGCAGGAACTTACACAAGAAAGGAGCCATCATCAGCCCAAGAAGATGCCCTGCACATAGCTAACAAATATTCACCCAGCAACTCCTTAAAACTCAAAGCCTACTTAACCTGGTTTCCTCAGCAGGAAGGGAAAGCATGATGCTACGTCATTACCAAATTAACATCTTGCCATTCATTGAGCGGCTCGTCAGCATCTTTGCCAGCTTCTTCCTGTGGCTCAACATCCACGTCGTCGGCTTCAGAGCTGTCCCTTGGGAGGTTCTCGGTGTCAACAGTGGCTTCTTCCTCCTCCACTCCTATCAGTTCCTCTTCACCTTGTTCCGAGGGAGGCTTGGAAGCGTCATCTTCACTTGTCAGGCTCTGCACTTCGATGAAACTTCCTGTATCAAAATAATAAGGTCACTTTATCCACAACTGAAACATTAAGATTATCCTGAAATCTTCAAGAGCTTTCTGAAGGATCCTGAGTTAAAAAAACAAAAACAAAAACAAAAAGCAACTGAGTATGAATATAAAAGAAAACTTGTAATAGCAACATGTCACTATTAAACAAATTTCATCGCAAAGGCCTACAACTTCAAAATAAGCTTTCTCAATTATATAAACCAGAATTGTCTTTTAAAGTAAGAACCAAACTCTCTAAGATTTGCATGTCAGTCTTATACAAATACATTCTAAGTTAGCTAATACTGTTGTAAACATTCAAAAAGGATAATTATCAAAGTATGTCAACAATTATGGAGGTTGTTAAATATGTTTTTATGCTATTCCACTATAAACAAAGCACAGAATAAAGAATAAAGGAAAGGATAAGTCCCCAGGAGAAATAGCTCTTTCTCTTCCACTTTCCTTCATCCCTCTGTTTTTGTCTTTCCTTTTCTTCAAAATATATTTCTTGTTTCCCTTCCTTCCCTTCAGGTAGAGGGGGCTGGCAAGGCCTGTCCGGCTGGGTTTAAGAAGGCAACCGGGACAGAGGAGGAGACGGGGACCAGGGAGGCAGCTGGGACCAAGGAGGAAGCTAGCAGGATTGGGAGATGGTTACAAATAGAGAATCCGCAGATAAGAAAATATATTGAGGATAATAGATCATTGGAGCAATGTTTCTCACCATTAAGAAAGTTATAGAAAAGGGGGCTAACATGAACCCTGTAATACTGAATTGCAAATGCAGTTATCAGTGCAAATGCATGGATTTTAACATAAAGATAGACATGGAAATAAAATAGATGTGTGTGTGTGTGTACATAAATATATTTCCTGGTTCTCTTGCTGAAAGGACCTGCAATGACAGCCCAGCAACAGTGAGCACCCAACAGCCAGCTTATGATTTCTCAATACCATACACCACTAAAGGACCCAGGGCTCCTTGGTGAAATGGCTGATGCCAGGGCAAAGTTAGTACAAGATAATCCTAGAACATCTTGGCCAGAAAGTAAGGAAATGCTCAAAATATCCTGGGAAATTGTCAAAAGCCACTTGAAGAAGCTGTACTGGCCATGAGTCACTTGAAGGTGTCCCCACTAGCCAAAGTTGGGCCCTCTGAACAACTGAGCAACAAAGAAAATTATGACAGTATCAGCTTAAAACTCACTGAATAAAATAGGAATCCAGGAGTTTACACTGATTTAGAAAATACCAAATGGGGAACAAGGAAAAAAATCTTTTTTTATGGCAGGATGCAGACTAATAAATATATAGGGAATGACAGAGTTCATTAGAAAATCACCATTTGGCAACCAGAAAAGTAACAATTTATTCAGGTAAAAATCAACAATGGATGCTAAAACAAGTGGCTGAAAGTCTGTCCAGGAACAGTATATTTACATAACTCCAAAAATTCCTTTTCACAAAATACTTATTAATTACAAAGGGGAAATAGTAACCTAAGAGTGAAGAAACCTGGCAACTACCAGGAAACAAACTGAATGTGTGTGTGTGTGTGTGTGTGTGTGTGTGTGTGTGTGTGTGTGTGTGTGTATGTGTGTGTACACCTCATTCTTATTACTGAACGTAGCTATCATCTATGAAGTCTCTGTAAACACTAAATTAGCCAACACTGAGTCACGGCTCTTAGAGGAAATATATATATGTATATGTATACACACACACATATATACACTATATGAACATATTTCATACATATTATTACCTTAAATACTAAAAACCACCATCTTAGTAGAGTCTATTCTTTATTTTACAAACAAGAAACAAGGTTCAGAAGTGACTTGCCTGAGGCTGTCCCACTAACAGGTGCCAAGGTTGGATTCAGACCCCGTCCAACAGGCCTGAGGGCTTGAGCTCCTTGATCCGCACTACACTGTGGCCTGCTGCCCCCACCCTCTGGCCATCCCTGTTGGCGCACTGGAATAAGGCAGAGTATCACCTTGTTCAACCTCAGCTGGGGACAGTGTGGCAACTCACATTTTTCCCTGCTCTCCAACTGTCCTCAAATGATCACAAAGACACCAGCAGTGAGTACTGATTCTGGAGTTACAAATTGTAGCAAGTATGCAATTTTGCAAATAAAGAACCTTGATGAGGATTAATAATATGCATACGTGTTTGGATACAGAGATGTATGATATGCACACACAGTGATGAAGACAGAGGGAGACAGAGAGACAGCAAGGCAAATGTGATAACATGCTAGCCTTTGAGGTACTGGTGAAGGAACCAAAGGGTTTTGTAATATTCGTTCAACTTTTTTAAAGTTTGTAATTATTTTAAAATGTATTTCTTTTTTACTTTTTTGAAGCAGGGTGTCACTCTGTTGCCCAGGCTACAGTGCAGTGGCACAATCACGGCTCACTGCAGCCTCAGCTTCTTAGACTCAGGCAATCATTCCGCCTCAGTCTCCTTAGAAGCTGGGACTAAAGGGACATGCCACCATACCTGGCTAATTTCTTTTAATTTTTTGTAAAGATGAATTCCCATTATGTTGCCCAGGCTGGTGTTGAACTCCTGGGCTCAAGCAATCCTCCCGCCTCAGCCTCCCAAAGCACTGGGATTACAGATGTAAGCCACTGCCCCCAGTCCTATTTCAAAATTTAAAGTATTAAAAAAACTCAAGTAGGGCACTTGATCCCTTTATAAACAACAACAAAAAGCAAAGCAAAACAGGGAAGGTCAAAATCCCAATACCAGCTGTGTATCCCTGGGAAAGTCAGTTCACCTTTCTTTCTCTAGACTACACTAAAGGCTCTTTCAGGCCCCACTGAGGTGAAATCCGGTCATTCAGTACCTCTAGAAACACCCAAGCACCTACCATCAGATTCACTTTCTTCGGAGTTGATTTCCATTGGTTCCATGGCCTTGGGAACTGAAATTAAATCCTGGCCTGCAGATTCAATTGTCTGCTGTTCTTGGATGGTTTCTGGGACATTCTCATGCTCTTTAGCATTAAATGATACCACATTTTCTAAGTTACCTGCTGCCTGTGAAGGGACACTTACTATGCTATTTATTTCCTGGAAACTGGCAGTGTCCATGGCTTCAGAAGCAGAATTTTGTTCATATTCTGTTTCATCATCACTTGAAGGAACAGAGGACGCATATTTCTGCTCAGATGGGCCAAGCTCATTCTGTAGCTCGAGCACTTTGGTAAGTGTTTCATCCCCTGACACAGAACTTGCACTTGTTGGAGGTGCTGGCGTCAGTTCCCTCCCACTCAGGAGCCCTGGGGCATCGCTGTGTCTAACCACTGCACTTTCTAAATGAAGCAGATCTTTTCTTGCCTCAATCGTAGACTCATCACTTGCCAGAAGGGCTTCGTTCCCCACATGAATAAATGGCATTGGCTCTTTGGAAACATTAGAGGCACTGCTTTGACAAAAGGCAGGCGCTGAGGCTGTCAGCTCTCTTTCGTCCCTCGTGTTGACTCCAAGCTCCGCTGCAGAGTCCACGCCAGAGGAAGCGTGTCCGGCAGTAAATGACATTCCTCTTCCTTTTCTCACGTGAAAGCCTTTGTCATTTGCCTCGGTGGAACTGTCTGTAGGCGGTTCTTGGGCTCCTGGCCCTCCCGGCTGCTCATCGTCCCCGGCAGACACGTTCGCCTCTTCATCATCATCAAGAGCCCGCTGAATGGCGGCGAGAGTCCGTGGTGACATGGAGCCTTCCTCGACTGTGTCAGGGGCATGCCGCTCGCTCTCTGGCTTTCGAGTCTCACGCTCCAGCTCCTCCTCTGAGCTGCTTCCCAGCAGGGCGGCTTGCACAGCGAGCAAAGTTCTTGGAGAAGGAGGGGCAGCATCAGGCTCCTTCTCTGTCTTCACTTTTTCACAAGGAGATGATTTCACGTCCACTGACACGCTGTGCATTTTGCTGGAGGAAGGAAGAGACTCTGAATCCACTTCGGCAGCTTTCTTAGCTTGAATACCTTAGGAAGAATTAAGACACTTCTCACTATGCAGTTTCACGGTATGACAATACATTTCTAGTAAGATGAGTAGAAGAATACTGGTTCTCATCAATGAAGTTATAAACTGTCAATTAATCAGCAACTAGAAGTTTGCTGATCAGCTAATTTTAAAGTGGGTTGGCACTTTAGTAGTTAATCCACGAATAGCTAGATACAATCGTTATTACAGAAACAGGACTTCATTAATTTTATCCAGTGGTGCCAGTCTAAAGAATTCAGAGTCACAATATATTTTTGGTTTTTAACAGTCAAATAAATGGTGGCACCCAATACCTTTTATCAAGATGTAGTGTGAAGTGTCTTCAGAGACCACTCTCCTTGACTCTACCTCCCTCAGAAAGCCCCCTTCCTCTTCATATTGCCTTTGGATTTGTCCTGAATGTTGCTGATTCATTTCCTTTTGGACATTTTCTATGTGCTGGTTTAGATAGTTTTTTTTAAGCAAACCTTTGAGTTGGTACTGTGAAAAGTCATTGGACTCCTAAAGAAAAAATCAACAAATAAAATTGTTTTATATTAAATACAGATAATATTACATATTTCCATCCCTTTCCCCAACAGGGGACAAAGAACAATTGGCTTTTTTCATTGATGGCAGTTTCATATTATAAAAGTAAAAGTTAAATACAAGGAAAAACTATAACTGCCTTTAAAAAAAACCTCAAAAACAAAAAAGTTGGGCAAAAGAAGTCATGAATACTGTTTATGATTTAACCATGTATTCAATAAAACATTGGGCATGAAATGCATGGCAGTCAGTGACATCTGATTATGGCTTAACAGAGAAATAAGCTTCAAGAATACAAGTAAATATGCAAGTAAAATACCTAGCGCAGTCCTTGTTCCATGAAAGACACACAATAAATCACAGCAAACATAGTTATTAATAATAGTTAACTCCCATGAAGGGTATTCTTCCAAGTGCTAATTTACATATACTACCTCATTTTATTCTCACAACCACCCCATAAAACAGGGATCACCTTCATTCTACCGATTAAGAAATCGAAACTGAAGTAGGTCAAGTGAGCACCTTGCAGTTACATGGCAAATAAATGGTAGACCACTTTGCAGTTACATGGCAAATAAATGGGATCAAAAGCTACTTGATTTACTAGAACTAGTTCTATTACTACAGTAGTCTCCCCTTTTCCTTGGGGATACCTTCCAAGACCCCCTAGTAGACGCCTGAAACTGCAGATGGTACCGAACCTGATTGCCAGCAATCAGAATGTGTTCCTGTTCATGTCTTCTACCCACAAACTAAATGTCTTCTCTACCTTAACCAAATGCTTATCATATACTGTGGTTGTAACTTTTGCAGTTTGAGGTGCGACAGCAAAACTAGCACCAACTTCTTTTTCCTTCTTCACAATTTCACACACAGAAAATTCATTTTTACAGTATAACTTAGCAACCTCAGCATAATATCTTTTTTTCTTATTAAGTCAAGAACTTTCACTTCTTCTCTTAAGGGAAGCACTTTATGTCTTCTCTTTGGCATATTCAAACTGTCAGCATCACTACTCTTGCTCTTTGGAGCCATTATTAAGACAAATAAGAGTGACTTGAACACAAGTGCTGCAGTGTCACAACAACCAATCTGATCATTGAGGTGTCTAGTGAGTGACTAACAGACAGGGAGAGTGTATGTGGCATGTCCAAGGTATGAGACACTGTTCAAATGGAGAATTCAAGTTATGGGCTAGACAGAGTGGAAGAGCATAAGATTTCATCACACTACTCAGCATGGCGTGCAATTGAAAACCTATGATTCGTTTACTTGCAAAATTTTCCATGTAATATTTTCAGACCATGGTTGACCACAGATAACTGAAATCAAGAAAGTAATACTGTGAACAAGCAGGGACCACAGTATTGTGGTGTATTATTATTTAATATTGCAGTTATTATTTACCATCACTACTATTATCAGTATTACATATGCACCATGCATAAATGATACACGGATGACTTTGAACACCTCTGTCAGAATTGTATATCTAGAAACTGCTACTCCACGCTACCCTACCGTCTCCCAATTCCAGAGACTTTGTGGTTGCAGAAAGAAAATGAAAAAGTGTTTGTCATTAGGGATTTTCTCTCTTTCTCCTACACCTTCCCACTATTGTTTACACAACCAAAATTCTATTTCCTCAACTTCCACCCAGAGATCCTTTCGCACTCAAAATGCCTGATAGACAGACTGAACCTGGGGATTTATTCCCCTGAAATGAAAATAAGTTTATTGACCACTGTTTATTCAAAGAACCAAGAATATCACTTCTGTGCAACTTAGTATTTTCCTATCTTCACATTCTTTGTGGGAAAATAGAAGCAAGTGATGGAAAAAGAAATTTATCCTGCCTTTTTCATATTTTTGGTATCAACTTAAGAAATGTTCAAAAGTCTGCAGAAAGTAAAAAACAGTATATCCATTCACTAAGGGCAATAATGTTGCAAAATGTATCTTCTGTCCTACAGTGGGATACAGGAGAACAATGTCAGAAATAATAGAAGGTAGCGGTAGAAAGGAAAAGAGAACTCATTCACCAGCAACTAAAGACAGGGATAGTCACTGGTAGCATGAATCAAGTAATTAATAACAGCATGATCAGGAAACATATTTGCCAACACCCAACCCCACACCCCATCCCCACCCCAACTTTCTGAGGCTGTGGAGCCACCAGATATTCAATGTTGAAGACCTATTCCTACTGCTCAGAAAGAGGGAGAGGATATGTGGAGATCCAGTAGCATTTCTAGGGATATAGTAGAAGAAAACGTACCTGGAATTTCAAGCTAGGACACATTTTTCACTCTTTATTTTTTTTAAGGACAGGGTCTCACTCTGTTTGCTCAGGCTGGAGTGCAGTGGCATGATAACGACTCACTGCAGCCTCAAACCCTTGGGTTCAATGATCGTTCTGCCTCAGTCTCTCAAAATGCTGGGATTTACAGGCTTTAGTCAACATGCCCAGCCTAGAACATAATTTTCCATTGTGATTAATTCTATATTACTATTAGTTTTTATAGATAATGTATATTATGAGTTAAAATAACTTTTATAAACTAAGCGAGGAATCGAGCCAATAAGCATAAACTGGGCACATACTATGTAAAAGATATTGAGCTAGGTGCTGAAAATACTGAAGATAAGTGCATTTTGAAGCTAAGAACTATAAAGCGATGTTACAGGATGTTGTGACAACACAGAGTAGGAGAAAAGACCTAGTCCTGGGTGGAAAGTCAAGAAAGACTCTTTTGAGTCAATGTTTATAAACCCAAACTTATAAACCTATGGTGCTTCACAGAATCTCTGGGATAAACAAATGTTCTTTACTGTTAAGTGATATGCTAGTATTACTTTTCAACTGTCTTGAAAAGTTTTGCTAAAGTTCTTAATTCTAAGCATTCATGTACTATTGTGTATCTTACCTCTGGCATTGCCTCAAATAATGTTCTTCTTCGCTTGGTGAATTCTTTCATATCCGTCAAGATTTCATGCTTTACCTCAGGGGGCAGGCTGCTGAAGTCCTCAGACTCAATGTCGATCGCTTGAGGGTTATGAAAGAACTCTTCCTGTATAGTCAAACATAACACCATGAAGTTTACATTTCATACATTTAGCTTCATTCACCATTACAGATATTTACTGTGTTTGTACAACAGAGTTCTACATAATCAACAACAGGATAAACACAGTTGTGCTTATCTGCAATCAGCATCAAAGTGAACAGGCAGGTTAGGGAATATAGTCGTTCACTCTTTCTTTCATTCAAAAAAAGAAATACTTACCAGGTACCTCTAAGGTACCAGGCGCTGTTCTAGGTGCCAGGGTACTATACGATCCCATCAGGTTAAGTCCCTACTCTTAGGAGTGGAGGAAGGCATATGACAAAAAAAAAAAAATGAACAAGATAATAATAAGACAATAAAGCAGGTTGACCTGATAGGAGAGTGATTAAGAGAAATGAAAGAGGGGGAAAAAAGATTTGTTTGGCAGACAGAGAAGAACCCCCCTAAAAAGAGGACCTGTGAACAGGGACTCAAGAAATAACACAGAGCCTGACTGGGGACAGAGCAGCCCAGGTGAGGGGACAACAAGTGCAAAGGCCCTGAGGCAGAAATGAGTCTTAGGAATGTGATATATATATCTTTTTACCTAAATTAGATTAGTTTTAGTTTGCTCTTAACCAAAAGTAAAAAGTGAAATTAAAAGTTAAAAATTGGGCAACCATCTCGGGTCCTCTCCCCCTGGGGGAGCTTTTCTGTCCTCTTAATAAATCCTGCTTTCAAAAAAAAAAAAGCTCAAAATTCAGCCAGATATGATGACTCATACCTATAATGTCAGCACTTTGGGATGCCAAGGTGGGAGAACTGGTTATTACCAGGAATTTAAGACAAGGTTGGGCAACAAAGTAAGACCCTGTCTCTCCAAAAAATAAAATAATTAGGTGAGGTGGCACGCACCTGTGGTCTCAGCTATTTGGGAGGCTGAGGTAGAAGGATCACTGGAGCCTAGGAGGTTGAGGTTGCAGTGAGCTATAATTGTGCCACTGCACTCCAGCCTGGGTGACAGAGCAAGACCCTAGCTCTAAAAAAAGTAATAAAATAATTTTTAGTGAGAAATTCACAGACATGGAAAGTATAAAGCTTTCCTAAATTTAAACTAATTACCAAGAGAGTACTTTAAAACACTTCATTAGCATAAAATATAAACTAATGCATCTTGCTGTGTTGTGTGTGTACATACAAACTACTAGCACTTAGGACAGGTCACACCACTCAGTGTTTCCTGCACTTTCTGTCATGGAAGCTCCTACACCCCTAGCAGGGAGGCACTGGCATCAGTGTCACTGCATTTAAAAAAAAAAGGAAAAGGAAAAGGAAACACAGCCTCAGAGAAACAAATCTAAGATCACACAGCTAGTGAACGGTGGTGCCGGACTGAAATGCAGAACTTTCTGGCCACGAGGCCCATGGTCTTCACCAAGATTGCTCTTGCTGGCTGCAGTCATGATGCAGCAGGTACACGAGTTGAAGGATCCCAAGGTTTTAGCTCAAAAGATTTCTTCCAGATATACCAAAACAATAGCAACAAACAAGAAACTGAATTTGGGAATCAAAGATTATCTGCTACACTAAGAAACTTTTTTCTAAATGTTTATGAACAAACATATATACAGTATGACCACAATTGATAAAAGTGTTACTTATTAAAATATGTGCAAAAAATAAACTATGCATGATGTCAGTTTTAAAACACGTCCACAGAGTCTCTGACATTCTTCCTGTCTTATACAGGGTCTGGCCCGATCACCATGTCTAACAACTCGAGTGTAGTGGAAAGGATGCTGTTCAACATCCAAAGCTAGCTCAGAATGGCAACAGAAATCTCTGCCTGGAATCTTCACTTGGGATGCCAACCTTTGTAACACAGTCTCCATGCTGTAAAAAAGCCCGGGCCACGTGACAAGGCCACCAGCAGGTACTCTGGAGGCAGTCGCACTGAAGTCTCGCTGAGAGCGAGCCAACCACCACACCTGCGAATGAGAAAGCCCTGGAAGCAACTCCAGCCCCAGAGACAGTCTGATGGCATCTACACAAGAGATACCCAGAGAGAACTGCCTCCTGAGCTCATCAACCTCAGCACTGCAACAGGTGTTGATAAAACATGATGTTTTTACACCACTAAGTTACACAGCAACAGAGAATAGAACACACACACAGATACACACACACACACACACACACACACACACACACACACACTCAATTGTATGGGACAGAGGGAAGAATGGTCTAAAATATACCAAATGTTGCTCTAAGTTACTTATGGGACTCACTCATAAGTGAACCTTGAACATATGTCGTAATACTGTAAGTAAAGGATCGACAGTGGTGGGAATCTATGGGGGGGGCAGGGAGGGCAAGGGTGATGGGATTAACAGTAGTCAGTATCTGTCTGGGGATGGGGGAACAATCCTTATCAACAAGGGTGCCTGAACGATGCATATTTGTATACCTAACCCTTAATTGTACCCCACAACTTTAAAATAAAAAATGTCTTAAAATAAACAAAAATAAGTAAGTAAGTTACTTATGGGAGGTATGCTTCTTACATTTTCTACACGAGCATGTATTACTATTTGTTGGTTGGTTGACTAGAAAAGAAAAATGGTTATTTTAGATACATAGATATGAATAATGTCAAATTACGTACATATGTGTGGGGTATGTATTTTATAATACACTTATACACATGTACATGGATACACATACACACTATATACCCGGGGTGTCAAAAAATGTATACACATTTTGAGAGATGTTATCTATGTATTACTTTTAGAAGTCAAATTGAATTACTGTAGCAACGTGTGGTATGATGTTCACTCAAAAGATGGTGGTCCATCTTGCTAACCAGAGAAGTGAAACACCTTTACAATGAAAACTACAAAACACTGCTCAAAGAAATCAAAGAAGACACAAACAAATGGAAAAATATTACATGCTCATGGACTGGAAGAATCAACATTAAGATTTCCATCCTACTCAAGGCAATCTATAGATTGAAAGCAATACCAAATAAATTACCATCATCATTCTTCTCAAACCTGCAAATGACAATACAGAAATCCATATGGAAACCTAAATGAACACGAATAGCCAAAACAAACCTTAGCAAAAGAAGCAAAGCAAGTGGTATCACATTTCCAGACTTCAAACTTTACTATAAGGCAACAATAATCAAAACAGCCTGGTACTGGTACAAGAACAGGCATATAGACCAATGGAACAGGACAGAGATTCTGGAAGCAAAACCTCAATTTCTCAACCAACTCATCTTCAACAAAGCCTCCACCAATAACCTCTGGCAAGAGGAGAACCTTTTCAGTAAATGGTGCTGGAAAAACTGCCTGACCACACATGCAAAAGAATGAAACAGGACCTTACCTATCACCATACATAAAAATCAACTTTAAATGATGAGAGACCAAAACATAAAAACTCAAACTATAAGAATCTTAGAAAATGCAGGAGACAGCCTTACAGAAATCAGAAAAGCAACCAATTCCTGATCAAAACCTCAGGAGTCCAGGCCAAAAGAGATGAGATAGACAAGTAGAAACTCATCAAACTGAAAAGCTTTTGCAAAGAAAAAGAAGCCATTAAGAGAGTGGGGAGACAGCTCACAGAATGGAAAATAATATTTGCCACTGTATATCTGACAGAAGCCTCATATCCAGGATCTACAAGGAACTCAAATGTGGTGAAAAGAAAAAAACAGTCCCATTAAAAACTGGGCAAAAGACATGAGCAGACATTTCTCAAAAGAAGACATACAAAAAGCCAACAGACACATGAAAAAATGCTCAGTCTCACTAATCGTCAGAGAAATGTAAATCAGAACCACATTGAGATACCACCTAACTCCAATAAAAATAGTCATCATTAATAAAACAAAAAACAGATGCTGGCAAGGATGTGGAGAAAAGGGAACACTTCTATACTGTTGGTGGGAGTACAAACTAGCTCAGCCGCTATGGAAAACAGTGTGGCGATTTCTAAAAGTACTAGACCTTGACCTTCCATATGACCCAATAATCTCCCTTCTGGGAATACCTGGAGGAACTCAAATCATTCTACAAGAAAGACACCTGTGCATACCTGTATACTACAGCACTATTCACAATAGCAAAAACGTGGAACCAATTGTACTGCCCATCAGAAGTAGACTAGATTTTTAAAAGGTGGTACATATACATGATGGAATACTATGCAGCCATGGAGAAGGACAAAATTGTGGACTTTGCAGCAACTTGGATGGATTTAGAATCCATCATACTCTGTGATCTGTCACAGAAACAAAGAACTGAGGACCACATGTTTTCACTCATAAGTGGACCCTGAACATCTAGCATAATACTATAAGAAAGGGATTGGCAGTAGCAGGGCACCGCCCAAGGAGGGGGTGTGAGGGTGCGAGAGGAGACACATAGCATCAATAAGGGTGCCTGATCCTAATCAAGGTGAAGTGAGGTCCAATGGGAGGTTCAAACTTCACCTGTACATAAACCACTTATGTATCCAATCCTGACTTGTACTCCGCACCTTTAAAATTAAAAAAAAAAAGATGGTGGTCCCTTTAATCAAATGAATGCTAGCGTCATCAAGCAACAGGCAGGACAGTCAAAGAAAATGGTAGAAGCAGGGTTGTCATGGCAGAAGCACAAGACTATTTTGAAGTGGTATTTGCAACTCAAGAACATGGAGGAATGATGACAATGGAGGTGTGAGTGTGCAACATGGCCTGCAACATGCCTACCAATTGCATGCATTCATGATAAGTGTGAGACGCATGGTCCTGCATGTGATGTGCACAAGGGAAGATCTGGGAGGCCTCACACAGCAACAAGTCCTGCAGTAGTCTGCCATAAACAGAAGTGTCTGGATGCCGATGGTAACTACTTTGAGCACCTCTTGTAACTGCAGAAGTCAAAAATAACTTGTATTCATCTTTTGTTATCAGTATCTATTAAGTATTACAATTTTAATACAGTTTTTTCCTCTCTTAAAATGTGTATACTTTTTTTGGTACCCTCTGTATATATACACACACACACACACACAGTAAAAAAAGGCATCTCTCTTTACTTTTCATCAGGAACTTTCATATATACATACTACTGCATTAATATTACTCATTTTTATGTCACTTAAAGTAACAGAATACATGATAAATTCAAAAATTATTTGATACCTGTAATGCTTGTTTTTGATTCATTCTTTCTTGCCATTCTTTTTCATCTTCCTCCTCTGAACTGAAAGTCAAGCAAACATTTATAACACCTAAGATTTTTAATGACTACTTACAAAAAAAAAAAAGGCTTGTGTGCAAGGTATTGCTAGTTACAGGGGCTACAGTGGTGAAGAAGACAGCAAGATGTGTGCCGCCACTGGTCTCATGGCCTGGTGGGGGACACATGTAAATAATTATAGTGTGATCTAGTAACTTCCACCACAAGGAAAAAGCGAGTTGCTAAAAGCACAAAATAAGAGAGTCATATTGGGGGCAGTAGCCATCAGTAAGTGATAAGTCTACTTTTAGGTACAGGAATGCCCATGGAGAAAAGTGTTCAGGCGAAAAAACTAAGTTCTGTAAACACCTAGAAACAAGGAACAGAAAGCCTGCCTGTAGATGGTGTGAAGAGAATAAATGATGATTAAGGAGCTGAAGTTTTATCCTAAAGAAATGAGAAGCTAGGAAATATTTTAAGTAAGGAAATGACAATATTAGATTTGGGTTTTCAACAGATTCTATAGCACAAGGCAGACTGGGCTTGGCGGGAAGGGAAACTGCAAAAGGGGTAAGATCAAAGGCAAAGACAGAAAGAAACCTGGAAGCTATTACTGTAACCTGGAGAAAAGTGAAAGTGGTGGCAATGAGCCAAAGATAACTGAGCTGATTCAAAAACGACGCTGTGCTTGGGAGTCCTAGGAAAGGACTGGGGGGAAGAAGGGACAGGGCACAGGAGACAAACTGTCAAGGCTCCTGGTCCTCCCCCTGCACTTCAGACACAGAAGCCACCAACAATTAACAGTCAGTCAGAGGAGGAGAAGGCCACAGAGGAACTAAGGATAAGTGACCAAAGAGGTACAGGGACAGCAGGGCAGGAAGGTTCGATGTTTAGTGTGGTGGGGAAGTTGAGCACACTAACAAGTGCAAAACACCTACAGGATTTAGTAACAAGTACGTCATCAAATATGGTTTTTGTTTTGTTTTTTTTTGAGTTGGAGTCTCACTCTGTCACCCAGACTGGAGTGTCGTGGCCACTCCCGGCCACTGCAGCCTTGACCTGCTGGGCTCCGGTGATCCTTCTGCCTCAGCCTTCCAAATAGCTGGAACGACAAGCGCGCTACCACACCCGGCTAGTTTTTGATTTATTGTAGAGACAAGGTCTTGCCAAGTTGCCCGGGTGGGTCTCGAACCACTTGCCTCGGTGGCTATCCACTTGCCTCGGCCTCCCAAAGCGCTGGGATTACAGGCTGAGCCACCGAGCCCAACCAAATATGGTATTTTAGCAGGTGGTGAGAGAGACAGCATTGGGCTGAGAAGTATGTAGTGACAGCATGTGTATGCAAAGCATTTAAGAAAAACAAAAATTCATGTCTATTTTAAATTCACAGGGTTAGTAAGGGCTCTCATAATAAGAAGAAATAATAATCCCAAATCACCAAGACACAAAGACAAGTTAGCAAATAAAAAGTTTAGTCTCTGAAAACATTCTGAAAGTTATAAAGAATACACTTTTCAGATGCGTTAATAAATTTTCACACACCTTATCATGTAGATAAACATAAAGGTTTAGATCTGTCTGAATATGGCGATGATTAAAATAATATTCTTAAATAGTCAAACATTTACCTATGTTTTTCTTCCTCTTTTAAAGGAGGCAAAATGTAGATGTCATCTTCTCTACGAACTTCAGTAAGACTGGGTAGTGCTTCATCTCTGGAAAATACATAGATCTTTAAACAGAGGTGATATGAAATAGTATTTTGAATCGATAAAAATCCTCCATCGATCACACAGACCCTGCACAGGAGGTGGAAAGGGAGGAAGCACTTGGGCAAAGAATGTCCCCCTCCTGCCAGGGCTGCCCGCAGGCCATGGCTGTGGAAAATAAGTACAGCCTGGAGAAAGAAAGAAAACTTGCTGGGGCTCCTGACTCAGTCAAGAAGAGCATTATAAAGGTTAAAGCACCCAGGAGGTTGAGGCTGCATGAGACATGATCGTGCCACCGCACTGTAACACCATGGCTCTCCTTTCTCATTAGCAAAGCCGATACTCAAGAATGGAGAATGTTCACACTTCAAATTACCAGGTCAAATGCCATCCAAGTTATCCATGTCATTTTCTATTTTCAGTTGAAAGTTAAAGTAAGTTAGGGAAAGAAAACCACAGAAACTCAACACAAAAGTAACTTTTTAAAAAAAATTCTAAAATCAATGTGATGCTCCCCTTGCCTTTTGCTTCTGAAGGCAGTTTTGATAGCCTGTCTTTTCAAAAATGTTTTCAAAAGCTTCTCTGTGGTTTTCCTGGAGTCACTGGATGCCAAATCCTTTCTCTGCCTTCTTTTAGCCTATGAAAACAAAGGATATAAGATTTTATTTCAGGGTATTACTATGTTAAAACATTTCTGTGATTTTTTTTTTTCCATAGAATTTGGCTTGTCTGGGTTTTCAGAGTATGGCTGTTTTGGCATTTCTCCTAATTGTTGTCTTCGTGGATATCTTCAGGTTTCTGCCATATAAAGGACACCCAGCGTTCCCATCCATTACTTAATGGGCCCACTATTATACAACGTATTTGGAAAACTATTAATTGACTTTCAGTTTCTTGTAAGTGTTCTTTAATATTCCCAAGAAGCCTAAAACTTAATGTTATACAAGTAAATGCTTCCCAAAAGGAATTATTACATTAATTAATTTCTTTAAACTGACACATGCTGAAAGCAATTTCTAATGTTGCATTTTTAGAACTAACACTGCTTATATGTAACACTGCCCTTCAACATCAAGTTGTATCATAAGAAATACTAAAATGTATAGAAATATCTTGTAAGAAATGTCCAAGTAATGTCGGGCATGGCAGCTCATGACTATAATTCCAGCACTTTGGGAAGCTGAGTTGGGAGGATCACTTGAGCCCAGGAGGTTGAGGCTGCATGAGCCTGGGTGACAGAGTGAAACTCTGATTACACACACACATACACACACACACACAAAAGTCCAAGTAAGGACCAATGGAATTATCCCTGTGTTTATGGCTGAATTTAAGACAGAAATAACCAAGATAATTTTCTTTTCTAATCTTTCCAAAAAGTACCTGATACAGAGAATGCCTTGTATAAATGCAAACTGCAACATTTAAGTCTAGATATATTTACTGAGGCAAAAATGTCCCCAAGTATTTACAAAGTCTTAACTTAAATAGACAATATCTGTCTGGTATGATTATAAAGTGATGAGCTGGCATTTTCAACACATAAAATTCACATATTCAATTGGAAGCTGACATGGGGGTTGTTTAAACTTCTTTATATTTCTTTTAGAGAGGGGTCTCCCTATATTACCCAGGCTAGACTCGAACACTTGGGCTCAGGTGGTCCTCCTGTAAACATTTTTTAAAAGTACTTTCAGAATAATAAACTCGCTCTCATTCTTTTACATCATGTCCAATTTCCTTCCTGGATAATCCACTTTAATCACCACTTGGAACCACATAACACTGCTTACTCCTAAAATCCAGCTTGCCTTTAAAAGAAGGCTTGCTATCACTTGAATATACTTAATCTCAAATTCAGGAAGGCATTTCCCAAATAAGATTTCCACAATGTTCTGAGAGAGGGTGACATAGCTGGAATAAATACAGAATACCTAAGAAGATACTCTAATGGGAAAACACTCAATTGTGAGAATTGTCGTAGTTAGTTTTATTTAAAAGTTAAATTTATCATTGTACCCATGATGTATTCCCATAAAACTTTTTTTAAGGACAACAGTATTTGTTCAAGATAATATAAAAAAGATGGCAGAAATTGGAGATGTGTCATATAAGCGTCAGCTTCTAAACTTCTAAGGAGAAAATAAGAATTTTATGTGAACTTTTTTAAGAACGCAGAAAGAAAAAAATTATCTGACATTTAACAAAAATTAGATAACACTTACCAAAGTCTGTTTCTTCAATAGTGGAGCGTCCCCATCAAACACAAAAATAGGACGAATTCGAAAAAATAAGAGTTTGCAGAGTCGATGAAACAAAGTGAGAAGATGAGCATTTTCTATGGCGTTCCCATGGCGATCCCGGACTCCTTTGAGCGCCTGGTTTAACCAAATGCTAATATCTAGGAGAACTGTTAATGGAAAGCCTTTTGGAAAAGCTTCACTCATCCTCACAATTTCAATTTCCTAATCACTGATATTATCCAAACGCTGAACACTAAATACTCATCACCACTCATTTGAAATTGAAAAATGTTTGGCCCTCGTGGGATCTACCTAAAGCCAGTTAACTTTAACTGAGCCCTGTTCTCACCATTCACATAATGAAACTTAAAAACATAAAAGACAGACATGTCCTTTTAAAAAGTCTAACTGCAAAGAATTGCTTTTAAAAAAAAAAGTGATCACTAAAGAATTTAAGTAAATTAGCACACATTTTCTGGAGGACAATTTGACAATTCATAGTGAAACAAACTGCATTAGACTGGGTTGCAGGGGTTCAAGCCTGTAATCTCAGTACTTTGAGAGGCCAAGGCAGGAGGATTGGTTGAGCCCAGGAGTTCAAGACCAGCCTGGGCCACACAGCAAGACCTCACCTCTACAAAAAAAATAATTTAAAAATAATTAGTTGGGTGTGGTAGCACAAGCCTATGGCCCCAGCTACTCTGGAGGCTGAGGCTAGAGGATCTCTTGGGCCCAGATCGAGGCTGGAGTGAGCTATAATCATTTTCTTTCTTTTTTTTTTTTTTTTTTAGAGAAACGTTGTGTTTAATGGTAAAGCTTAGCACACTCCAGAACCAGCAATGGCATGGGGTCACAGCAGCAGGACGGGCAGGTGTCCCCCGTGGAGCCTCACATGGCGAAGAGGATGAGAAAGGCAACCATCAAACAGAAGAGCCCCATGGCCTCAGACAGGGCCAAACCTGGCACAGGAGAAGAGCTGCTGCTTGAGAGACGGGTTCCTAACATAGCCAACCATCAAGTTGCCAAATGCCCCTGAACCAACCAACTGTGGCTGCTCCAGCACCAGTGAACTTGGCTACTGTGTCCATGTCCCAGGAGATGACACTGGTCTGAAACTCCCACCTGGCCACCCGGAGTGGAGAGCTGCTGAGAGAAGGCTGCTTAGATGAATTACCTGGCCTGTTCAGGAAGGAGGCAGACACAGGCCTGATGAGACCCCTGGCACAACAGTGGATCAAAGTCGGAAAAATGAGTCGTGTCCCAGCTGAGGAGGGCATTAGAGGTCAGAGGAAATAGCCTGGGCAACAGAGTAAGACCCTATCTCCAAAACAAAACAAAATAAAACCTGCACTGTACCTAAGAAGTCCATCTCCAGACAATGATCCTCAGAAAATCATCTTGGATTTACAATAAAAGTTATTTACAAGAATACTTGTTTATAATAATAAAAACGTGAAAAACAATGTAAAAGTTAAAAACGAACTACAGTATACCTGTTTGGTGGAATACCAAAACGCCCTTAAAAATGCAAGCTGCAGAAGCACACAGATAAGAGAATCATAAAATATTATCAAAGGAAGTAAAACTCCTTATAAAAGTTCATAATTCAATTTTCTATTACAATATATATAAAATGTTAAAGATTAAAAAACTGGAGGCTTGGACTCCAAAATATGAAGAGTAGCTATATCTGCCAAAATTAAAGGTAATTTATTTTAATCCCAGCGTGCTCTCATATTTTTAAACTCGCCTAAAAATGCTTCTTAAAAATACATTTTATATGTGCCCATAAGAAAGGGTGGCACAGCCCTCTGCTGGCCTTCCTGCTCTAATCTCTTTGCCAATTCCTGTAACTCTCCATGAAAGTGTTCACTTTGTCAGTGGTCTTGAGCAGCGAAATCCACACCCTATCCACAAGTCTATGCCAGGCCCTGTATGCTCTCCTGACCCCAGACTAACAACCTAGTTGACATTCCTACCCGATGCCTCAGACATTTCAAACTTCACATATCAAAACTGAATTCCACAAGTTCTCCAGTAGGCTGCTCACGACCTCATTTCAGTGAATGTCACTGCCTTTCACCCAAGCCAGAATTTTGGGTGTCATCCTATACACTCTGCCCTCCAACCATGACCAGGTCCTATCAGTTCTACCTTTCAATATATCTTGAAGGTATATACTAGATTTCACCAATGTTTGGTGAAAACTCTCCAAAGCTTCCCTTTAGGATCCTATCTTAGACTTCTTCTCTTTGCCTATGAAGCCCTGACTGATCCAGCCTCTGCAAACGTCGAGCCACTGGGTTTTTCTTTTCCAGTACCCTGGCAATCACTAAGCTCCTTCCTGCCTCCAGATCTTCTCACATGCTCCTTCCTCTGCCTGAAACAGTTTCCCCTCTCTCAACCTACTTACCTTCTGCTCTGAAGTCTTAGTCTGAGTCACTTCTTCAGACTAAATTAAGACCTCCAGTTTCATACTCCTGTTTTAAAATGTATTGCTTATTATGTGGCAGAAATTTTTCTATGCACTGGGAATACAGCACTGAACAAAACGAAGCATTTGCCCCATGGAGTTTACAATCTAGAGGGGAAAAAGTCAAGCCTGTGAACTCCATGACTTATCTAGGCTACACTTTTGTGCACCACGCTCCCTTTCACAGGTCCTAACGTAGACGATAAATAACTATTAAATGACTTGAACTGTTTAATATTTAATGAATATACATCGCCTAATTTTTACTACCATTCAAAAAAATTAGACCCATCCAACAAAGTCACTAGTGGAAAGCAAGCCAGTGTCACGTTTATTCTGTAACACTTGAGCACTACCATGGGCCTGGAACAAGACCCCAGGGATATGCATCGAACTACACAGCTGTGAACCAAACAGATATGACCCCTATATCCAAGAAGCTTGCATTCTAGTGGAGAAGACAGGCAATAAAGCAGACTATGAAATATGTGAGGTTCCTAGTAAGTGCCAAGAAAAAAATAAATAGAGCAGAGTAAAAGGGTGAAAGAATGTCTGGAGGTCGAGCTCTCCTTAGCGGGGCAAGGCCTACCTGAAGAAGGAACAGAAAACTGAAGGAACAAGAGGAACGCAGAAGCAAAGTGGGAGGTGAACGGACCAGCAAAGGCACAGGTCCTGGCACTCACTGCCATTTAGGAAGGCCTATGTGGCAGAACAGGAGGAAAGGGTGGGAGTCGATACCACCAGACACTGGCAAGTTTCTAGACGTGACTTAAGGAAGTCAGTTTTAAAACTAGTTACAATGGCCTGAGAGAAAGATGGGCGCACCGAAGACCGTAAGAGGTGGTTGTATCAAGATTCATCTTAGAGGCAGGACGTGGGGTGACCTAGACCAGTTTTGCATTGGATAAATGTTTCTGGCTTGTTTCTTCTTGCCACACTACCGTATAGGATTAAGTGAGTTTCTACTTGGCCCACTACTTTAGACTTTATAATTAAGAAACTCTAATTTCAGATCAGTGGCTTTCAACCCTGTTACCCATTAGAATAGGATATGGGCCAGGCACCATGGCTCAAGCCTGTAATCCCAGCACTTTGGGAGGCTGAAGTGAGGGGATTGCCTGAGCCCATGAGTTCGAGAACAGTCTGGGCAACCTGGCGAGACCTCATCTCTACAATAACTCAAAAAATTAGCCGGGAGTGGTAGCACGCACCTGTAGTTCTGGCTACTTGGAAGGCTGAGGTAGAAGAATTGCCTGAGCCTAGCAGGTCAACACTGAAGTGGCCATGAGTGTGCCACTGCACTCCAGCCTGGGCAAAGGAGTGAGACCTCAACACACACACACAAAAAAGAATAGGATATGAAGTTTTTAAAACATATGGATTACTAATCTATATGCCTAAAATTCTAAATCATAGAGACTAAGTTAGGGTATTTTTTTTTTTTTACTTTTAAGTTAATTACAGGTAGTACCAATCCTCAACTAGAGTTGAGAGCTCTAGCTTGAAATTCTTAAAGAAAGAAGAAATATGTAAAATTAGACAAGATAAAAATATTTGCATAATTTTACTTGTCTAATTCCAGTAAATTTATATAAGGCAAAATTAAATTTCTCCCAGAGCTGGAAAAGTTAAAATCTGCAGCAAAGCCAAAAACCACTTTAGATATAAAACCCAAAGGACCAATAAGATTTTGATACAAAAATAAATGTCAGCCAGTCTCCGTGGCTCAGCCTGTAATCTCGCGCCTTTGGGAGGCTGAGGTGAGTGAATTGCCTGAGCCCGCGGGTTCGAGACCCACCTGGGCAGCAAGACCTCATCTCTACAATAAATCAAAAGATCAGCTGGGCGTGGTAGCGCATGCCTGTAATTCCGGCTACTCGGAAGGCTGAGGCGGAAGGATCGCCGGAGCCCAGCAGGTCAAGGCTGCGGTGGCCGGGAGCGGCCACTGCACTCCAGTCTGGGCAACAGAGTGAGACTCCAACTCAAAAATAAATAAATAAATAAATAAATGTCTTTACTTCTCTAGTTAGGTGACTTAAAATTTAATTAATCCTCATTAGAATACACAGCCTAAAGAGATTGTAATAGCTTGCCAGTACATTTAAATGCATTTTACAAATGCTAAAGTACTTAAGAGACAAAAGTTAAACTGTTTATTTGGCATTATCTTACAGAGACATTTAGACTGCACAAATAAATAAGACACTCAGCTATACAGATAGTTAAAACACCAAATAATTTATTTGCAGGACACAAGAGTAAATTCTGAACCCAGTAGAGTCATGGGTCGATTTCTTCATTAACAAACACTACAATAAAATTTAAATATATTTCAGATAGCTGAACTTTCATGAAACTGAAACAAAGCAAAATCAATTTAGAAAAAATAATCAGATCTTCTTTTACATACATGAGGTTTATATAACATATAAAATAGGTTATCATTATAATTAGAATCCTTGACAGTCTTCTTTAGGGAAATGATTTGTCCTTTCAGAAAAACCTAATAGCCTCATAAAAATGATTTCACATCCCAGATGGGCCTCTTTGGGTCAACTACAAATAGGCAATTTAAATTAAAATGTTTTGCCTTTCCTTAGTTTGACAACGTCCTAAAAAACTAGAATGTTGAACTTCACGTGTCATCTCACTGACTTTGCAAATTCAGGATTCTTTATAAGGGCTGCAACATGAAATGATCTAAATCTCTGCCGAAATGTTAAGGGTTCCTGTCACTGAAAACTATCCTTTCACCCACCAATCGTCCTAAGGAAATCTTTAGACCGCAATGATACAGAGCAACCGCTGGAGGGAAGCAGCAACAGCTCACGTTCCTTAAAAAATATTTCGCTTTCTGCAACTCAGGGTACCCTGCATAAAAACTTTCACGCCTAAGATTCATGACAGGTCTTTTTGAAGATTATTTACTTGGAAAATGGTAACAATCGTGCAATATTTAAAAGTGATCAGTATCCCCTCATTCATAAGTTGTGTACTTAATGAAGAATTAGGGCTCCTCAGTCAACCACTCCTTTGCAGAACTCCAATTGACTTGCAATGTATTTCTTTCCCACCCTCAGCGATTGACATGACCCCGGGTCCACAAGCCTAGGAGCCCCTGGATTCGCATGTCCCCATTCTGGAAACTGGTGTAAGGCACCACCAGCTTCTGAGACAGAACAGGCACTTAAATAAAATTGAATACTTAACAAATACAAAAATTTTATCCCATGCTTTGATAATGAACACACACACACACACACACACACACACACACACACACACACTTAACTCCAATGACACAAAACTAGTCAAACATGCGTACAAACAACTGGCCTTAAAAAGTCCATCAGAAAAAAAAAAATGGAGGTCAAACACCCAACCACACTATCCTTTCTCTCTCTAAGAAACACAAATGCAGCAAGACTAAAGACAAACTTAAAGGTCAGAAGTCTACTTTCTTCTTTTCATGTTGACCTCCCAGCCGGGACAATCAATTTTAAGAGCTGCAGTATCAGCTGTGCCAGACACTCTTCTGAACGTCTTTAAGGAACTCCCGTATTCCTCCTACCAATCCTGTGAGTAGGAGGGGGGAAAAAAGCACAGAGAAGCATAAAGCACCGCCCCAAAGTGACAAAATCAGGATGCCCAGAAGGTGTGACTGCAAAGCCCAAGGAAAGGAGATACACTAGGCCCTCCCTCACCCACCCACCTCCGCAGATTCAACACACCGCGGATAGTTATGGGGGGAAAAATAAAAAACGCAAGATTCTGTCAATGCAGTATAGCAACTTTTTACATAGCACTGACATCGCATTAGGTATCACGAGCCATTTACAAATGATTATAAAGTATACGGGAGGCCATGCGTGGAGCGTATGCAAATACTACACCGTGATATAAGGGACTTGAAGGAACTTGAACATCTCGGGGAGCTCTGGAACCCATCCGCCGCGGATACCGAGGGAAGACAGTATTTAGAAAGAGAACTTGAGAATATTCCACAGCCGCCCCCCTCACCCCGGCCCCAAGGCGATCAGCCTGCACACACCACTCTGCACCCGACGGAGCGCCCCGAGTAAAATCCGGCCCCTAATCCCCGCATCCCATCCGCGAAGGATACCGACAGCCAGGATCTTCCCTTCCAGCGTCTCCGGGCTGACCTGCCGCCCCGAGCACTCCAGCAGCTTCCAGAGCCCCTGAACTCCCATGAGGCTGGCGCGTCCTCAGAGCGGACCCAAGGAGAAACGGGATCCAATTCCTCCACCCCTGGCTGCACCCCTCCGCCCAGGACCACGGGAGCAGGCTCTCTCTGTCCCCACACAAGAAAGGGAGAAAACAATGCAGATGCCACGGCTTTCCGGGGGAACTGGCAGCCGCGAGAGCGTCAACAAGGGGAAGAACTCGGGCCGGGGCAGGCAGGTCCCAAGCACTGCCACCGCCACCCGGAAGGCCAGATCAGAGAATGGCCGGCGGCGGGGAGGACCAGGGCCTCGTCGTGTCCAGCGCTTCAGCCGCAAACGTTTGCACTCCTAATGGAAGACCCTGGCGACGCTGCCGAGACAAAAGGCAGAAGAGGTCCCCCGGACACCGTTTGCATTCTCTGGCAGGTCCCTCAAGCCACCTGACGCGGCCCCTCTCGGTTTCCGTCAAATACGAAGCGCGGAGCGGAAGCCCTCCCTCCCCGAATGACGTATATTTACTGCGCCTGTAGCGCTCCGGAAGTGAGTGAGCGTGGAACCCTGGTATTTGTACCTAGTCAGTGACGTGTTTCCGCTACCCTGGCATTCCGTTGGCCTTAAAGTATAGACGTACGCGTATGCCTTCTTGTTCAGGTGACGATTTTCTGTGCACTTTTTCAGTATCAGTTTCTCCCCATTGCGCCTTCAGTAGCAAAGACTTAGTACCAAATATTAGGGGGAACCCCCCAAAACTAGAATTTATTTTTTATTTTTTAAGTTGGAGTCTCACTCGGTCGCCCAGACGAGTGCAGCGGCCGCTCCCGGCCACCGCAGCCTCGACCTGCTGGGCTCCGGCGATCCTTCCGCCTCAGCCTTCCGAGTAGCCGGAACTACAGGCCTGCGCTACCACGCCCGGCTGATTTTTTTATTTATTGTAGAGATGAGGTCTCGCTCCCCAGGCGGGTCTCGAACCCGGGGGATCAGGCAATCCACTCACCTCACCTCAGCGCGGGATTACAGGCTGAGCCACTGAGCCCGGCTTGTATTTATAAACAATTGTGTATTCTTACATGTTTAATCTTAAGTCACCTTCAAGCTACTCTCCGTTTGATGCAATACACCCGTCGAGGTACTTTGGTACTTTTTTTATGGCTCAGAACAGTTTTTGGATTCGTTGGTGTTGATACCTCTTAATGCTTCTTCCGTTTTTTGTTTCACCTCTTCCACGTTGGCAAAATGTTTCCCTTTGAGGACTTTTTTCATACGGAGAAAAAAAAAAAAATGTCGTTCGGGGTGAGATCAGGTGAATAGGGAGGATGGGACACGGGCTTTCTCTCTCTTTTTTGGGGGTCAAAAACTGCTGAACACAGTGTGGTGTGGGTAGGTGCATTGGTAAATCACCCATCATGAAATGGGCAAACTCTTGAAAGAATCTCCAAAAACTAATTCGCTGAAGCGGAACACAGCGTCTCACAGCAACGCTAGCTGGTACGCTGATGCCGGTGGGTTCCTTGACCACTTGGGGTGGAGATGAGGAAGGAAATCTGTATTACCAGCGGCCCACCTCCATAAAAATAATTCCGGGTTTCTTGGAGTCCCCCCCGTATTGTTTTACCCACGAAGAAACAACAGAAAGGTGGATGCTGTCTTTTCACTAAGCACTTATTTGTAGTAGCTAGAGTAATGAGCATGATTTAAAGCCTTACCCGCTGAAATATAATTTAGTTTTCCTCAGCGTCGAAAACTTAGAATCCCGTGGTTTGTAGATCAGAAGTGACTAGAAGTCAGCTGCCAGAGTAGCTCCTGGAAAGGTCATGGCTCTGGAACCCTCAGACCAAGAATCAAATCCCCAACCTTACTTCATCCCACAATCACATCTGTGTCTCCATCTGTAAACAAGGCATAAAGCCAGTCTGGTAGACTATTTTAGAGGACTAGAGGTGTTCTACGCAAAGTAGTTAGCACCAGCCGCTACTCAGTAAATGATAGTATTGCCATACCTGTTTGTTTAAATTTGAACTATTCAAACTAGTTTCAAATTCAGTGAAAGGCTGATTTAAAAGGGCAGGTAATTTTTTTTTTTTTAATGATTCTTATATAGCTAAAGTTTATAAGAAATTTGTTATTAGCAAAAGCCATTTCTATGCCCAGGAAAATGTTTCGCAGTAACCGTGTTTCGTTGACCTAGTTGGAACTAATTTTCTGCTAGGAATAACCTTGACAAAGTCGTTTCCTCCATATGTAATTTCCAGAAAGTGTTCCTAGTTGTATATCACTGAGGATAACATAATAACCGCCTATTCTTTGTTTGTCTCTTCCCCACGGTAGACTAAACTTACTGAAACCAAGAACCATCTTATGACTGTCACGTGCCCCCCTCCTGACACTTGGCTGGAGTTCTGTCAGTATTGCCTAAATGACCTCTGAAACTGCCATTTTAAGTTCTCCAGTGCACCCTGCACTCTGCTGAAAGAATTTGCTTGGAAGTCAGGCAGATGTTCATTCAGGTCTCATCTGAGCCATAGAATAGCTTTGTGCTATGGGCTCAATTGTGTCTCCAAAATTCACTTGTTGAAGCCTTAACCCCCACTGGCTCAGAATGTGACTATTTGAAGACAGGGCCTTTAAAAGTGATTAAGTTTCAATGAGGCCATTAGGATAGGTCTTAAATCCAATCTGACTGGTGTCCTTATAAGAAGAGGAAATGTATACATACTGCGCACAGAGGTGATGTGAGGATAGTGAGAAGGCAGCCATCTGCCCATAAGGAGAGAGGCCTCAGAAGTAATCAAACCAGTCAGCATCTTGATCTTGGACTTAGAGTCTCCAGAACTGCAAGAAAATAAATTCTTGTTGTTTAATCACCCAATCTGTGGTTATGGTAGCCCTAGCAAACTAAGACACCCTGTCACCCTCAGCAAGTTTCTTCACAGATGATAGCCTCAGTTTCTGCCAGTAAAATTGGAATCTTAGGTTTGTTCTGAGATCACCTATGAAATATGAAACACCTGGTGATAGTGCTCAACCTAGTTAGTTGAATGAATGATTGGCATGGGAGATGGGGAATGCCACAGATGTAATTGAAATGAAGAATGTGATGGATGCTAGAGCAGCTGAGTCTGGGAGAAGGCATGTTGGGGAGTATTACAGCAGTGCACTGGCTTGGCCTCATAATGGAATATAGTTTCTTAACAGTGATGGTAGTATGAAAAAGAACTGTTACAGGATTTGATCTAAATGAACTCTTTTGTTTTTTTTTTTTTTTCCTGCTTGAGAGCTGGGTAAAAACAAATAGCCAGTCTAGGCATTTGAGTGCTGTAAGTACTTTTAAAACCAACATTTCTTGAATACAGGGAGCAATAAAAAGGGGTGCATATTTGATTTACAAGGAATTAGCTCCTTAATGCTGTTTAAGGGTTTCTCGATAAAGAATCTGAATAGTGAAATCATCTTTTGGAATAATAATAGCAAGTTCTTAAGTAGCACTTCCTATCTACAAGGCACTGTTCTAAAAACTACATGTGTTACCTTATTCTTCAAACCATGTATAAAGTGGGTACTATTAATTTTACCAATAAGGAACTAAGCACAGAAAATTTAATCTTAACTTGCCCAAGGTCATACATCTAGTGCAGAGCCAGTATTTCAACCTTCATTGCATCTATGGAGACTCCTAAGAAAAGTTGACCATGAAACAAAGTATGACTTCTAAAAAGTATGCAGTGACTCTTGCTTACAGTTTCTGGAAAAACAATCATTCTAAACCTAAACTTCAGTGTGTACTTAATAACTGTCAAAATTGGAAGTCAGCTTATTAAGTGATCACAAGGATCAAGACTTTTATAAAAATTGATTATGGTCAAAAGTCTGAGTAACTCACCCTCTATTCCTAGGTGTCACCCTGTCCTTTAATTTATTTATGTTGCATTTTTCTCCTTTTATCTTGGATCTTCCTACTTATCTCTTCTTTAAAATATTCAATTAACTCTATGAAATTGCTGATATTCAACCATGTTTGACCTGTAGAAATGACAGCTTATTTTGGTTCAAGCTAACATAAGAATCAAATTTTCTAGTAAATTAAAAATCTAAAAATCTAGTCACCGTAATGCATATTATTTCACTAATTACAAAAGTAAGATTCAAGATGATTTCTTATAACACACTAGTTAGCAGAATTGACAAATTTTCACATACAGCAAACAAAGTTATAAGGGTACTCCCTACCTAAAATAAAAGTTCAAATACAGTCACATGATTAAAAGTAGAAAACAAAACTTTATTTGATGAAAACTTTTTAAAAGTTCCAGTATGAAGTAACAAAATCAACAACCTACAAATCTCTTTCAGTCTTTTGCAGTTCAAGCAAAATATTCTCTTCAGAAAAATGACCATTTCGTAATATATATCCCTTTCTGTAGGCTAAGCATGTATGAGTGAATAAATGGATATAAAATTCAAGAGAAAAAATGAAAATATTTTAAAAATAAAAATCTGAACCCTCTCCTTGAGGTGTATTGCGATATGGTTACCAACATATTCAGCACCTTGTAATCACCAAGTTACTGATGTGAGTCCTGGAACAAGCCACTAAGATGAAAGAACAAGAGATCCTAGTAGCTTATGAGTCATAGGTTTGCAGCAGAAGAAAAACTGGTGGCAGCTAGAGAGAAGCCCAAATATATGAAATCTGCACTTCTGGAATATTGAATACTCACTTCAAACAGTTAATCAGCTATATGGTTTTAAAAAGGAAACCACTCAGAGTTTGGAACACGGGTAGTTGTCCTCTGAGTGACTTGGGCATTTCCCCAACACATCTTAATGGTGTTATCGACTCAATACAGAAGGAATAATCAAATACTAGATTTCATTTCACAGATAACTAGGGCATAGAAACTTAAGGTGCCATTTGTTCTTTTACATTATCCCTAAAACAAGTTTAACTCTAGACTAAGGTTCTTGTCAGTATTTGATTGTAACATACCAAGTCAAGAAAGTAAAAAATACCTGAATCGATGCACTAAGTCACCCATTGGCACCAATAAAAAAGGTCTATTTTTTGAGTTTTTTTGCTTCATTAGTGAGAATCCTAAGAAAGTTCATCAGGATACAAATGAAGCAGGCAATATACTGCTACAAGTAAAAGAACTACTAGACTCACAAAATAATTTTAAATAAGCTTTAACCATGACTGAAAACTAGAAATTGACAGCCTCAGTTTTTTTAAAGGGCAGATGGTACCTTACATCTTGATCTCATGAATAAAACTATCTGTAACAACTGTCTAGGGATCAAATCATTGAAAAATCACGTCATGCTTAAGTATTGCAAATCTTGATGCTATTAAGTGAATTTGTGTTTGATTTATTTTAGCAGTTGTAATTTTATTGGATTTTGTGAAACTTTCTGTCCAGATTATTTATATACTCTTAATTTTAAAAGGACAGTAGTGTGTGCTTATCTGTGTACATATCTGAAATCACCCACCATAATCATATACAAGCTTATTATCTGGAGAACTACAAGGTTATGTTTTGTACCACAAGATCTGTTCCTATTCAACACAGACTTACTAAAATCTCCTACTGTCATAATACAGTCCTGTATATAACAGTTGTGTGTATGATGCCAGTTGTTTGGTACCCAGCATACTCAGTCATTCCCATCATAATCACTGTAACCCTGGTAGCCACTGTTCCTTCTTTCATGGATACTAGTCATCTTTTTCCATGCCGAGTCCTGATGGAAACTAGTACTGAAAGACCGGCCCAGACGCCCACGCTGTTTCTTGGAAATATTGTCTTCACTCTCAGATTTGGTGATTCCCTGGGAATGTGTTGGAGGTTGTGATTCCTGTCTGATGGTTCCAAATGGAAAGTTCCAAAGGCCAAATCTTTGCCAACTGAGTCTCTGAAATGCTATGATGCAATGCAAATTCCCCCCAACCTGCAAAGAAAAAAAAAAGGTTGGGTGAAAAAAATGAAGGGAAATTAATTATACCAACTTGTGGATCCCTACAACCACAGTTAATTTGGTCCAATCTGGGCCAAGACTGTGGAACTGGACCCAAGTCAGGTCAGTCTCGGTCTAAAACTTCATCTAAAAGAGAGTAAAATTGAAAGATGATGATCTTCGAAGTCAATAATCAGACAAAAGGAGAGCTAAGGACAGAATATAGCCTCCCAATGAGTGAGACAGACTACTAGTTATATGACCCCTGCTGTTATTTCAATACTTAGTACACGCCCCTGTAACTCCAGGCTATACTCTTTGCCCTTAGGTTTAAAGATATCCCTGTGTTCTTAAGATAAATTATACTTTTCTGTGGAAGGTAGTCTGAAGTGGGTTTTTGTTATTTATAACCTAAAGAGTGCTGAGTAAAATACCGCATTTTGGTCAGCTGAAAAATGCCTTCAAGTACAATAGTGTCCTTACCTTCTTTGTTTTTCGATACTGTAGACCCCTCTCTAAGTGCCGGATATCTAGGTATTCTGGATTTTGAGTGTTTAGATCAGTAACAATATCTGCCCATCTATGGTTAAGAAGAAAGGAAAAAGCAATTTTCTTTAGGTCTGAAGTACCATTGTAATGGAAATTTTCACATGAGCAAGTAGCTACAATATTGTCACAGCAATAATGGGCAATAATTGTCGTATCTCAACATGGTTCCATCTACTAAACTTTAATAACTTCTTATTTTCATAACAATTCTGTTTATCCAACCATTGCTAAGTTTCTCAGTTTAAAAGTAGTTACTTTTCCAAATACATAGATATAAAATTAATATATATTGACATGTTAGATGACATCCTGCAGGCTAAAGCACCAATATACCATTTTTTTTCAATTATAGTCAAGCCCATTTCTTAAAGAATTAAAAGAATTAACATGTATTTACTAACAGACAACATAATTGTGCAGAAAATCCAGGGAACTGCAAACAATTACTAGAACTAATAAGATTTGGAAAATATGTAAGATTCAAGGCCTATATTTTAAATATCAATTGTATTTTTTTATTCAATCACTAAATAATGGGAAAATGAATTTTTTTAACTCTACAATAGCATCAAAAAATATAACACTTAGGAAAAAAATTCAACAAATGACATATAAAACTCCATATTGGAAAACACAAAAACATTACTGAGAGAATTAAAGAAATCTCTAATTAGAATTAAATCTCGGCTGGGCTCAGTGGCTCAGCCTGTAAGCCCGTGCTTTGGGAGGCCGAGGTGAGTGGATTGCCTGAGTCCGCGGGTTCGAGACCCACCTGGGCAACTTGGCAAGACCTCGTCTCTACAA